CAGCAACGGAAATAGTTTCTTTAATCTAGTTTTGAAACGGAGTTTTCGTAGATGGGGGAACACCGTAGGCAAAACTTTAGGGGTACTAGAGGTTCATTAGCACCTCCAAGTTTAAAATAAGCACACTCAAAAATACCCAATAAGCTTTTTTACAGCATTAACTATATATATTATCCATGTATTTCATAATTAATAAGCAGAACAAAATACAGATTACCTACAGACAATTATATGTATAAATGTGTGTATAAAAATTAAGTAAAAAAAATGATAATACATTTTTATATAAAAAATTAATTTCTTATATCTTTCATTTTTAGGCACATGATCCAAATTAGACAAGTCATTATTGCTTAATATTTCTATAGAAACATTGTTTAAATTTAACAAATTCAATTCTGTTATCTGTTTTGAAACAATATATAGGTACTAAAATAATTGAAATTGTAAAATACAAAAAGACTGATCTTCCCAACTTCTCATTTACAATAGTGGCCCACCCTTGTGCGAAGTATATCCACGTCTTATTGAGGAAAATATGGAGTAAATTCAACAAAATGGTGATAATGTGTTTTAAAATAATTTATTTACAGTTTATTAACTAAAATCCAATACACAGCTACAGATAATGTAAGAATGGTTGTAGTAAATCCTTTTTGATTTCTCTACAATTCCCACCAAATTTCAAAATAATATTTTTCATGTAGTTACTACGATTCTTTACTAAGAGCGTTAGTGGATATTAAAAATCTGTAAGAACTTTGTCTACCCGCTTCTAGTATGTGTTCGTAGTTCGTCCCTTATATTTGTAACCGTGAATTCTAGCCTCCTTTAATATAATTATATATGCCTAATTGAAGTACTAAGTGCACCATCTATATAGTTATACAATCAATTTATAAGCGAGCGTATAATAAACAACTAGAGCGCAGCACTGCGCTAGAGCCAACATTTTACCGTAATAAGACACCATTTTGGCAATCTACTAGTCAAATGCAGACCTATTCAAATGCCCGGTTGCGTCTATATGACATAAGCGCGAAAGGTGCAAAAATGACATATCATTTGCGCCAAAATTAATATTTTATATAAAAAAGTATTTAAAAAATTTTAAAATTGTCAATAACCGATAAAATATACACATAAATGAAAATAATTTTAATAAATTGGTTGATTTTTTCCCGATCTTTAAAAATATCAGATAATAAATTTGTCGATTAAAAGATAAAACGTTTGGAGTTTTTGAACGATAATATATAGTTCTAAATTTATTACCATACAAACACAGTTAATACATTTACTATAGTATACTCATATATCTATTAACCGTGGTACACAGGAGATACCTATAGACTGTTGGCGTTTATATACGATACGATTTTGGCACTTTCGTACGATGAGATTTTTTTTTTTGTATTATCTCATTTTGGGCACTTATGTCTACCACCGTCGGTTGCACCAAACTTGTCGTTTTCCATTGATAATTAATATTATATTATTTTAGTATATTCTAAATTTAATGAAAGGGTTTATCATTTTTCTTATTTTTTACTCAAAATAAGTTAATGACGTTTTAGGATAAGTAAAAACTTCATCAAATTGTCCAATGGCTGATTATTAAATTAATATCTGTAAACTGGAGAAGCGGCACATTATAGTATCATAATCTTAGATCATGTACTAGTATTATAGTAGTATACTAGTATAAGTATATGATCCTAAGACCATAATAGTATGTTATCATTATCAATATATGAAAGAATGTTATCATTTTTTTTTTTTTAATCACCTTGGTAACAAAGCTGAACAAAATAAACTATTATAATATATAAAAAGACGAACATACTTCGCACATAGGTCGTGGATGGGCCACTGTTGTAGGTAAGAAGTTGGAGAGGGTAAATTTAATGTACATCTGTATCCAATGATTTACCATTGCTTAAGTACTCAAATATCATCCAAATATACTTTAGCACCATGAGACGTCCCGATTCGGTCGGCCTTGTTTGAGAACCGACCCGAGCGCCCAGCCGACTACCCGCCTAGGAGCAAGGTCGCCAACCTAGGACCGAGGTCCGAAGACCGGAGTCTTGGGATTTTTGTGAGGAGGGAAAGGAAAAAGGAAGAATTTAAATAAATAAACACGTGTTTTCTTTTGGGGAAAATATAGAATTATTTAATTAACTTATCAATCAAAAGGTAAAATTAAGTCAATGCAATAGAAAGGCACAGGGGCATAAAAACTGTCACTTGATAAAGAATGGATAATAGGTACGATTCTGACATTGATATATATACGAATCCACATCCACGTGTGTGCTGACCGATATGGATATAGATCGGGACGGACCCCCACGTGGAACTTTCGTGGGTAACTTAGGTATTGGGGAGACTTGGGGAGACCCCGGCAGGAATGTGCGGTTGCCAGGTCACACAAATCACCACCGGGAAGTGTAGCGGAAACGCTTTTTATTCCATGTTGACTGGTCCGAAGTTTTGGTGGCCCTACGGGTGAACATGCGAGGTGCGTCCGAATATGGATCGCGAAGTGAGGAAGATCGATCAACATATACATATATATATTCCTTTTTTAGATGCTCACACACGTGGTTGCGGAACCTAGCACTTGAAGGGAATAGAAAATGAAAAAAAAAAAAAAAATAACAGAAAATACAAAATGCGGGGGTTTTGCCTGTCGCACATAGGGTGTGGAACGCGGGGATTAGTATAACGAGACGGACACACAAATCCGGCTGGTCGATCCCCACAAGTATATCGGAAGAATTTAACATGTGAGAAAAAAAAAAAATTTTAGATAAAAATATTTATACGGGGAGACCTTCATTGAACTACCTTAAGAACTAACCAACTGACGGGGTATCGGCCAATTATTAAATCACACGTACATTACCATTCGTCCAGCGCGAAGATGTCCGCTTCACTGGTTCGTTTGATGCACCATCGTGAAACGTGCCAAGGTACACGGCCTTTTCTTGACGGCCAAATGCGTGAATCCGTGCAATACGCGGGAGTGTTTTATTAAGAGAACTGTATCGAAAGACCGACTGGTGACAAAGTCTCGAGACGAGGTGCAGACGCGAAGAAGTTATGGAACGAACAAAGGACGGCGAACTAGGTAGCGGAGCGCGGAGACGTTCGTGGCACGCGACGCCGCGGGCCGACGTTTTTGGCGATAACGGGAAACGTGATCTGATTGGCCGTTAACCCGTAGTCACGAATATAATATTATTATGAATTGCAAAAGATTGCGATCGCGTAAATCTTTGCGCCGGGGAGGAGGGGGGGGGAGAATTATTGTTCATGATGACATAACATATCCGTCGACGCGGGCGTAATCTATCGACCGACCGACCATATCCGCTGTAGGTATGCTTGTCCTTTGATAACGGGAAATGGTCGTTTTTGAACGTTGCGACCACCCCAGTTAGTTTTCCTTTTAGAAAAATGTCGATCATTGGTGATCGGAGATAAATCGCAGGTAGAAAAGTTGTCCATAGAACATTTTTGGAAAATCTACAAATAATATTTATTTTTATTTCTGTGGACAACTTTTCTATTAGCAATTTTTCGCCGATTAACAAAAAACGGGAAAATGTACGAAATGTTTTATTTTTAAATCGTAAATATTACGACCTTTTTAAAGATGTATAACAGAATCCCCTCAGAATCGTTTTTACAAAACATAATTAAAAAATTAATTAATCGTTACGTACAGATATACATTAAATTCCTCCTCTACTACCTTCCTAACTTCTCACACACAACAGTGACCCACCCACGTGCGAAGTAAGTCGGTCTTATTTTGGTTAAACAGGCAATATGATATTTTTATAAATAAAAAATTAAATGTGTACAAGTGTACGTGTGTAGTGTAAAAACCAAACTACTATCGTAAAAGTATTTTGTATTATTATATATTTAATTCAATATAGACTGACATACTTCACACGTGAGTGGGCCACTGTTGTGGGTGAAAAGTTTGGAATGTAGTATAAGGGAAATTCAATGTATAGATATATACATTGTACGCAACGATTAATCATTGCCAATGAAAAAAAATTCTATTTATTTTGTTTTGTTTTTGTTTATCTTTGTTACCAAGGTATCATAAATCAACAAAAATAATTCGATTTTTGTACTAAAAAAATATTTTAAAACCGTATTTTAAGAGTGAAGGGATAAACTATATTATATTTTAAATTGGGCCAAATCACACACATAAGCATAATCTTATAAAAATGGATTATGTAGTTTTAGAGCGCACAAACCCGGTTTATGCTCAATTTATATACATTTAATATACCTAATAAGATTCGATAATTTGTTCTTTTTTTTAATGTTTAATGTCGATTTTTCAAATTTAAAGATTAGCGCTTGAATTATAAATCATGGATTGAGATCACAGATGTATAAAACAAAAATTTGTATATATCTGTGGTTGAGATATAAAATGTACATTTAACCATGATTTTCAAGATTCCATCATACGTTGATAATGATAACACACTATTAAGATACTATTAAGGTGGTTTAATCCCATAGAACTATAAAGATCTTTATAGGTCTATCGTTAATCCACCTTGACTGTAATATAATAGGTACCTAATATTTATAACGACCTCCAAAAATGTTGCTGCTATGAGACACTCGTAATAAATGGACCTGTAATTTAACTCTTGATAAAGTATATTTTTATCAACAGACAAAGTTTAAAACATGGTTTACGCAACAGAATTTTTTTTACTCCAGATAAACGAGTTTATCTCTTTTTAAATATTTGATGCAACTCGAAATTAATAATAATTTGTGGTGGTCTAAGATATCTAAGAATATTATCTGGTGGTACAAAGTGGATATGAATATCACGTGGTTTCTTATCAGATAATATCATTTAACAATTGAAAATTGGTCACTTATCATAATTAATTAATTTCTTGTCTATGCTTATCACGGATGTCCAGTTTAGAAAATGATAATGAACTATTTCATCTTGCATGCAATGTTTTAACAAAACAAGTAACGAGTGTATTAAATCCTATTAATAACAAATTGTTTCAGTTTTTAATTGTTGTAATGTATCTTTAATACTTAATAAAAATCATGTTAACGTTTGTTTTGTAAATAAAATTAATTTTAGGATTTTTATTATCTTAGGGTAGTTATTTTTAATTACATTAAATAGAATCAATATAATTATTTAAGTATCAAATTGTACTTCTTAAAAATGTTGAATAACTGCAGGTATGTGGTTTATATAGTTAAATAACCATGTTGTATTTTATAAAAATATCTATTAAATAGTTTAAAGTCATGAACTAAACTTAAATCATATACTCTTGTATATAGATAATTTTTAAACTCTTTTTAGGTACCTAATAGTTATTAAATTGTTCATATAAATATATTTAAAGGACCTCTAGTCTTATAGCAGTTATGTATAAATTTAGAGGTCTCTTAAGTATACTTTTATGAATAATTGAATAACTTTAGTCAATGCCAACAGTATAAAAACTATTATTTATGTAATAAAACTATAATATATATTGTTCAATGAAATGTTTATATTTTATTATTCTTATTTTATATTATAGACCTAAATTGCTTAAAAAGTCCGGTGAAACTGTTCAATTACTACGACTGGCATCTACTAATTTTGAAAAACCCTCAAATAATGGAACTAGTATCACTATTCCAAAACGTATAAATAGAAGTTCCACTGATATTTTAAAAGTAAATATAACAGAACTATGAAATTTATTTATAAATTACCTAATTATATTTTATTTTATTAAATAATAATACAATTTGTCAATTATTTAGGCTATCTCTAGTACTATTCAACGAGATCCTACTGCTTCACATTATAAATACCACGATGATCCATATCTTATTCCAGTTTCAAATTTTCAAAAACGAGCATATGCTTTAAGTCAAGAATCTGGTAGAAAATCTGCTCAGTGGATTGTTAATCAGAATCCTGAATTATTTAACCATAAAGTAGCATTTCCACCAATTGAGGTTAATATTGTATATTTATTATTATAATATTTATACATAAAAAAATAATTTTCTGGCATTTATTCTAGAAATTTTATCCTAAAACAGTTTATGATGAAAATTGTCAGTTAGATGAGAATGTGTTAAAAAAAACAATTGAAGAATCGATGGTATCTGATTCTATTACTGTTTACAATTTATTAAGCCAAAAAGGCATAGGTAATTTTATCAACTTTAATTTTTACAATTAATAGTATAATATTTTATTAATTTTGTAGAAATTAGTTCAGAAACTCAACAAGCTCTTTTAGAATTAGTATGTTATTATAACAGTGTGGATGATATAGAAGAAGATTGGATTGAAGAACGTTGGTATACACAATCTAATAAAGAACGAGAAGAACTTAGAAATACTTGGAAGTACGTATTATATTATACAATTTTCAATAACTATGTTTTATTGAAAACAAAACTTTCAGATCTAAAGGTTTTGCCAATTTCCTTTTTTCAACTATTAAATCTCCTAGTGCTGAACATTATTCAATAATAATACAAGGAATGGCAAAGTATAATCAGGTAAAAATGTGAAATTCAATTTAAATATCTTTACCTCTGTGATCCGTTTTCAATTTGTATGAATACAATTTAAAATGTATTAAGGTTAATTAATAATATTAATATATATCATTTTTTTGTATTCTTATGTATTTTACTAATATTTAGTTTGATGAAGCTTATAATCTGTACAAAGAAGCATGTGAAAAAGAATTTGTATTATCTATCAATGCATACAATTCAGCTATTAAAACAGCTATTTATGTCAAAGAAGGAGCTGATCATAAGTGGCTCCATATACAAGTAACTAAATTTTAAAAATTAAAACAGCTTCTAATTAGTTAGGATTTATGGAACAATGTGTAAAATGATACATATGTTAAAATTATCAAGTTGTTACTAACTGCACCTAATATAAACTTTTCCGAAATATATTCCTACAGAATTGTTGAAAAAGCATTGTAAGCAGCAGAGCTTTTTCAATATAGTTAAATTTTTCACTCCCAATTTTGTATTATACAAATATTCTTTGTAAATAATAAATAGCTGATAATTATAATAAAACAACTACTTAATATACTACTTAAATATTGGAAAATTTGAGCTTAAAAATAGTAGGGGGTTAGTTGAAATTTGAAACCACCAAAAGTTATGTTCTTGACACCTTGATATTGGTATCACCTAGCATATACAAAGTGTCACCCCTTAGCTTCAGTCTGGGTGTATATAGAGGTGTTAAAACATAAAAAACACCCTCATTCTGCATCAACATGATCAAGTTCAATCCAACTATTCAATATGCTTATTAATCTACTCTTGATTTACGAGTTTGAGTTCATTTGATCTAGAGGAAGCCACCAAAAATGTCAAATGTAGCAAAAAAAATATATATATATATACAGACACAATATAGCGCACTAATCACTACTTTTAGCGCAAATAGAGTTATGTATTTATTACCTTGTACTAGTGATGACCAACTTTCGGCTTGTGATCATTTATTAATCAGCCCACCAAAGTATTAAATTAAAATTGAAAAAAAAAAAAATTTCCAAAATTAACACTTATATTAAAAAAAAGATATGTTTATACTTTACATTTTTTTTTTTCATTTATAACAATCCATGCCTAATAAATAATTAAATATATTGTACCTACATTAAGATATACCTACAGTAAAATATAATATTCTATTTTTGTTTTTATGGCCCTCTGTAAATAAAAAAAGGGTTGGTTACCACATCCTTAGACAATAAATTAAAATATTTTACTAATAATGAGTTATCTTCTATAGTTAAAAGATATAAAAATATTTCTTTTTTCAATAATATCTATAATTTACTACACGCCATAAATTAACAATTAAATGTAAAATCTATTTTAAATGAATCTAAAGAGGCATTTAAACAATAGTTACCTACTTAAACTAATTATTTATGTTTTGTAATAATCAATTATCTATCTTAATAACAAAATCATTTCTATAAAGAAAATCTTATTAAATTTGAATACCAAGTATCTATTTATAATAAATATTTATTTGTGCTGGGTATACATTTATTTATTTTTCAGGAAATATTGAAACAAATGAACAATTTGGGTGTGCCTATGAATTTATTGACTTTAAATTCGATTCTTATTGTATTAACTACTATGTCGATAAAACAAGAAACTAAAAAATATGCTTTAAAAACAATTGCTGAAGCAAAGCAATTTAATATTGAACCATGTTTAGCATCATATTATTATTTGTTACAAATATTTTGCTCTGATAGTATGTTCAAAATATTTTAAATTTACCTAGTGTAAGTAATTATTTTATTTATAATAAACAATAATTATATTTTTAGAGAAAATGAAAAGTACTATACTAATTGATATTTTAAATCAACTGGAAGGAAAATCATTAGTCATTAAAGATTTAGCTGATACAAAATTTTTTGTGACTGCAATGGAAAATTGTCATTATCATTTACAAAGTTTTGAGATTGCACTTCGTGTTCATTCGATATTAATGACAAAAAATAATTATAATTTAATTGGAGACTCTTATAAAGAATCAGTTTATTAGTAAGTAATTATTATTATTTTTATTTTACAAATGTACAAATTACACTTTTGTTCTCTGAAGTATTCATAGTTTATTATTAAAAACGATTGACGATTGACTTCGCATGATGGATGGGCCACTGTTGTAAGTAGGAAGTTAGAAAGATAGGATATAGTTGTGAATTTAAAGTATATCTGTACATAACAAATAAACATTACTAATGAAATAAGATTCAAGCAGAGTTTGGTTATACACATTTTGAAAGGTCACGAAATTTACGATTTTCATCAAAATTTGATACTAAAATTTTAAATTTTTATAAAAAAAATAATTTCTGTTTGGCCTAATATTTTTATCTATAGCATAATATCGAATAATAATTGTGTAAAAAAACTTAACATATAAAGCTATTTATAGACATTTTAACTAATGGATCAAATGATTTGAAAATTTGTTCACGTTTTAAAAAGGCAAACATAAGTTTTTATCTAAATTTTAAGTCATTAAAAATATTTTTAACTAAATTACAACAAAAAAAAAAATTGAAAATAATAATTTTTCGTTAACTGACCCAATCTTTCTACATTTTTTTTTTTCGAGCAAAAATAAAAAAAATTTTAAATAATAAAACTGTAACTCCTATAAATTTGTTATTTTTATTTGATTTTTCCTAATTATTATGAAAACTACTTGTAAAATAAAAAAAATGATTTTCTTCGTGATTAATTAAATTCAAAATGCAACAAAAAAGACCTCTTTTTAATTGAAAAAAAATTCATAGGAGAAAACATTAATTACAAAGCATAACATGAAATTGTTGTGTCGTAAATATTTATTCATTTTTAACTGGTTTTTCCTAACTATTTTGAAACTACTTTGAAAAACAAAATATAACCTTGCTAAAATAGCATCCAAATAAAATTTCATTTCAAAAAATGTACTACACTTGATACATTACAGTAAAATTTCTGATAAAAAAGTAACATCATTGTAAAACTACTACATTCCTCAATTAGCTCAGAATCTAAAATATTACAATGTATTATAATAAATCTATTTTTAACTACTACTCTTATATAATATACTTATATTTCCAAATGGCCACATGGTTTTTACTACAATTTCCAATGCAGAAAATTAAAAAAATCCAGGGTTACTTAAACAAGTCACTCAGTTCTGCATTTTTACATGTTATTATGACAATAAAAAAATATAATAAAAACGTAAAGCACAATTTCTTTTTTTTAATAATGGTTCATAAAGTTAAATTATTGTTAGTATATTAGTTTGGTAAAGGATATGTATGAAAATATGACTGTAAAAGTGTGTGTGAAATAACAAATTTTGGGGTTAGAGTAGGTGTGCATCAGGGGTTGGTTTTTAACCCTTACCTGTTTCTGTTGTAATGGATGAAATTATGGAGTAAATACAAGGTGAGACATTATAGTACATGATATTTTCAGATAGTATAGTTTTGGTAGGAGAAAATCTAAAAGAAGTTAACAATAGGCCTGAAGGAAAAGAACTATGGATAAGTAGAGGTAAAACAAAGTATATAGAGTTTGAGTTTGGAGGAACAGGATAAAACAGATAATGGCAATAGGTAGTGATATTATAGGTGAGGTTGAGGGTTTTAAGTACCTAGGACCTTTTGTACAAAATAATGGTGGCTTTAATGAGCATGTAAAACATAGGATTATATGTGATTGGATAAAGTAATGAAAAGCATCAAGTGTTTTATGTGACAAGAGAATACCAATGAAACTTAAAGATAAATTTTACAAGAGTGGGGTGAGACTGGCTATGTTGTGTAGTTCAAAGTTTTTTGTTGGAACAAAAATCAAATTATTTTCTATTGATTATGAGTTATATTGGTGTCATAGAAGAAAAATCAGTTATTATTAATTTGGTTTTTATAGTCCTGCAAGAACTCTTTTTTAAAAAAAATTACCTGGCAACAATGTTTAGTTGTGATAAAAAATGGGAGAAAGCTAATATTGAATGTATATTAAATAATATTTGTATTTTAAAGTATAAATAATTTATTTTTAGTCGGAATTTCTTTTCAATTTTATGCAAAAATGAATCAATTGAGTTATTAATGAAATATTACAATGATTTGGTTCCATACGTATACATACCAGAACCATCTATTACTGAGGTAATCTTATTTTATATAAGATATGTATTTTTATTTAACAAAATTATAAAAGTTGTACATTATATCTAAAAAAAAAAATTAGTGTATATAATATATATATTGTATAATATGCAGAAATATTTTTTTAATTTTTAGTTGATTGTAAAGTCTATAAACACAGCTGCAGCTACTGAATTATACTCAAAAATTTGGTCAGACATTTTAATGTTTGATCAAGCTGATAGAGAACCTATTATAATAGAGTTGACTGGTGGTATGGCCCAAAATTTATTTCCCAGTTTTGAACAACCTATTAAAGAACAATTAGGTAAACTAGCTGGTACAATTTTTGATTCTATTGAAGAACGAAAAGAAGCTGGTAAAATAAAATCCCCGTAAGCATTTTAATTTGTTGCTTAGTATATATCACTTAATTATAAAACATTTATATTTAAATTATTATGTTTAAGTTTTACTTTATTCATTAAACTAACAATGTTATAGAATAGAAACATATAATATTCATTTTTTTTTTTTCTAGGTGGTCTGGTTCTGTATTGGGAAACTTGATAAATGTATGTTTGTTTGGGGATAATATTGATAAGGCTTCTGAAATTATTAAAAAACTGCATACTAATCAAAATAAAATCATTGGAGTCCCAGATAATCAAACAATTGTACTTTTTTTCAATTATTGCATTGAAAAAAATTATTTTAATGAATTATTAGTAAGTATAATTTAATTTTAACCTAACAGATATGTAATAATTTGTTACACAAATTATTTTATGTCTCGGTTACAAATTATTTATTGTTGTAAAAGATATCTCTTTATGTGTATTGCTGTGTTCTAGTAAAAAACTTTCAATACACAATGTATTTTGTTTAATCTAATTTTTGGTAAATTACATTCATATGAACTTAAAAGTATGTTTATACAGGTTATTCAATCCTCTTTTAAACACTTATTATTTTGAAAAATATCGACTTTTTTTAATTTTATTTTTGGAAAATTATAATGTTATTAATTTTTGAAACTTGATATTACCCATATTTTCTTTACCCTTATGTTTGTGAATAAAACAACTACCCTCTTTAGATTTTCAAATGGCATTAAATATTTTGAATAATCAATATTAATCAAAATATTGGTTTTACTAATATATGTTTACTATCTTTCTTTTCTGTCTGCACACAACTTTTCTACCAGATATCTTACTGTAATCAGTGAATGACAAGAGACCTAATTATTACATTTTAGATCTAATTGGTTCATTGAGAGAAATCTTTTCTTAATGTAGCATAAAGTATAGTATCTTTTCAAAAGACAATTTTTTCTAGTTGATGTGTAAGAAAGTACTTTTTTATTTTCTGTATAGTTTACAGTTTTGGCTTTTATTTAGGACCAGCCCTCCAAATGCATATCCACCCCACATTAGTTTTTTCTTTCTAGCATCTTTTATTATATTTGGTCGTTGAAACAGATTTATTAATTCCTCATTGTGATGGTTTCTCCATTGAATTGGTGTGAATGCAAGGTCCTTAAATTAGTTTAAGTATTTTCCTTTCAAATACTGCAAGTCTTGTTTATTCTCTTCCTTGAAGTCTATGTATCATAAATAATATAATAATAAAATTGGTAGTGGTTTCACCCTAAAAACATAAGAATAAAACAAATATGATCAATGTTACAATTGAGAATTATTTATTTCTTAAAAAACTTAACTTTCCAATTGTCTTCAGTAGAATTGATAAAGTTTAAAAAAAATTAGATTTAAAAACTGTAGAAGAATAATTATTTAAGGGACGCACTATTCACTAAACACTATTAAGAGCCATAATATTTTTAACTTGTATATTATGTTTTCTTGAAATATGAATAAAATGGTTAATTTAATTAATCTAATTATGTCATTAAAAATTATAAATGTTTTTATTATCTAAACCAATTTTTAAAGGTCTTGAATATTATATAAAGTTTATAATAGCTGATAAGTTATAACTCTATATTAAAAATAACTAGGTATAAATATATACTTTTTATTATTAATTTTGTTACCTTTTTTTAGAAATGTCTTGAATACTCTTTGGAAATCGGTTATGTTGAATTGGATGATTTAATTTCAAAAACTATAACCAAGATGTCTTTAACTCCAATTCAAAAAAATCATTTGTCAAAATTAGTTGGAAAAGAATTTAATGTTGAAATTGAAAATAATGCTGAATCAATTATTAGTTAATTTTTTTGTTTTTTCACTTAGAATTTAAAAATATGAGTTGAGTTAGTAATATATGATTTTTCACTATTGATATGTTTACTTTATTCTATTATTGTATAAAATAATATACTTCAAATATATGTTTTGTAACTAGAATTAGCAAATTTAAAAATCATCAAATCTGGTCATTAAAATTTAATGGCCTTTACTTGTTATAATTTATTTATTTGTTAATTGATACAAAGATATACTATTACTATTATTTTATCTTGTTCCAATCAAAAAATTACAAGACACCTTTTTTCTTTTAAATTGTGGATTTACTAGATTTATTGGATGCATTATTTTAATCTGTATTATTCTTACTATTCCTTATAGTGTCATTTTTTTCTATTTTTGTCATAATTTAATTTACAATTATTCTTAGATCTGAAATTTTCAAAACATTCTAAACACGAACTATTTATAGGTCTTTTTAATATTTGAATCACGATAATTGTAGCAACAAATGCTTAACCAAACTTCACTAATAATCGTATTTTATCAGCATTTATTTATCATTATGTAGATATACATTAAATAACTATAAGTACCATTTTTTGTAACTTTATATACACTCATCAGTAGTTTAGCTTTTTTTTTACCAAGAGGAACATTTTGTAAACTTAGAACAGAACATTTACACTTTTTAGAATATTAATAGACTAGTAATGGTAATATTTCAGTTCAAATTTAGTTAAATAAATTTTAAATGCCTATAAGCAAATTTAAACAGAAAATATGCATATCGATATTATTTAAAATATTATATAATAAAACTACAACACTTGGTAAATTGAGACTTTTTAAATTACTATTTTTTTTTTTTTTTTAATATTTTGAATTAAAGGCTATACTGTATAACACTAAAATAATTTTTTTTATCTAAATTTGATCTATGATATACAAATTAAAAAGTAAACACTACAATTAAAAATTGGCTACTGTGGCCACTAAAAGTGGTATTGTATTGCATATTATTATAATATAATATTACTAGTAATATTGCAAATAATATCCTATTAAATTAAATATATATTTTAATTATATTCAATTAATTACAATATTTAACTTTCACAATGGGTAAAACTTTAAAACTTAGAATTAATATGTAATGAAATAATTACAATAATAAACCTTACGTAAATTATAAAAAAGTATTTTACACAAATATATAATTAACTAGTTAACAATAATCTAACAAAAATACAAAGTAAATTTATTTATTTATCATTAAAATATATAAAATGTAACATGTCAAAAATATAATAATATACAAATGTATTCTGTAAAAAACTAACTAATATTACCTTTATCATTATTATTTTTTAATTAAACCAACATATTATACATTTATTAAAATACTAAATTTTAATTGAATATTAAATAACAAACCAATAGTAAATATTTGACAATATTTACATCAAATTCGTAATTGTACTACATTAGTTATACCAACGTATATAGTTAATATATTAATTAAATATAATATTAATAAATTTATATAAAATAGCCAGAGTAGGTTATGAGTTGTAATACACTTTCAAACAGATACCTATTATTTTTGACTGTGGACTAATATTTTACCAAACAAATATTCATCACCGTCATTATTACATTTTTATGCTGTTGACAAGAAATACGGTAACTCATACAGAATATTTAATATAGGATGTATATAGGATACTCAATGTGTACCTTAGTTTTACCATGAATAAAAACCAAAAAAAAACAGAAATTAATAAAAATGTCTAGGTTTTTGTCAATTAAGCAAAAATATACAAAAAAGCAAAAATAATTAGAAAAACTTGAAAAAAACAATCAAAATAATCAAAAAAAAAAAAAAAACACTTTCAAGTTTCATATTTAAGATCATTGTTACATGACATGAGTTTCCTTAGCACTCTGGTAGATTTTATGTTAGACCAAAAAAATGCTGCAAGTCCCAAACCCTACTTATAATCTATTAATCCTTATAATTCCATATTGCATAAACAGAAACTCATTATATAATATTATTATTGATTAATTATTGATTTTGAGAAAAACAATGTATATTTATATTTACCCATTGCAGAAAAAATCAACTATAAAAACATATTTATAATTATGTACAAATGAATAAACTAAAAGTCTTAATCAAGCCGTTATTTAATGGATTAATTAAAATAATATACATCAATTATTAAAACTATACTAATGTTTGATGGATTGTGATGGCTGTGATTCAATTTTAGAATTATTACTTTTATCTAAAATATCGTTTTGAGGTATGTATGAAGTCACTTGTGATGTAGCAGCCATACCTTCGTCAATAAGTTTCTGTCTTTCTCGTAACATTGAGGCTTTCATATTACTCATTTGATGATAATAACAGAGTTTACACATACTGCAAACTGTCAAGCCAACCCAACAAGACCATGAAGCCCATATTCCAAACTATAAAAAGGTAATTGAGACTAGATTATGGTAAATATTAAAAAAAAAAAAAAAAAATTATGGGTTACAATAATTGTTCAGCATTTTTCTCGCTTTGATCAATATAACTCAAGCTTGTAATTTAATACTATTATACAATTATTTTTTATTGAAATTATTTATTTGTGTTTATTAAAAATAACTATTTTATAGAACAATTCTGAACAGTTCTTTTTGCCGGTGTAGCCACTATACATTTTGAATATTCATCAAATTAGGTGATACAATTTTTTAACATTTTTTACTTGATAAGCTAACCTTAATAATTTTTATGGAGAATTGGTTTTAACTTTGTACAAATAATAGGTACCAAGATTTAAACATTATAATAGTTAATACAGATAATCATATTTTCTTTGATAAAATAAAATTTACTAAAATAATAAATCTAATTTCAATTTGTACTTAAATGTAATTGAACTCTTCTAAAAAAATCATTCACTAACTTTACTAGTATCATTTAAATTTAATAACAGAATAAACTAAATGTAAGTATGGAATGAAACTAAAAAATTTATTTTTCTAAATAATACTGTTTGGATAATTATAGCGAGTTTAAGAGTTAAACAATAATAATATAAATTAGTATACAACTGTTTTTCAATGATATTCAAACAAAGAGTAAAAATACCTGAGCTACTCCAAGTTGAAAGTAAAATCCAGATGTATCAATTCCATCTTGAATATCAATTGAATTTCCAGCAGCCATTTCACACCTTAAAATTGATATATATTTATAATTGAATAACTTAACTAAATTAATACATAGATATATTATTTACTACAATATAATTATAATTATACAGCAATATTAATTTCTTATACTTACTGAAAATTCTTATTTTACTCTACATAGACTCTCTAGGCTATAAATACAAGTATAGAAATTAATTTATAATAAAAAAGTTAAATGTTCTAAGTAATTTTTGTTTTGAAATAAACTATTTTCAATATGTAAACAAATCACATAAGTACATAACTAATATGAACTATCTCCAAAAATTATAAAACTAATTTGCTATAGAATATGGGAACACAAATAGAATATTAATGAATTTATATTATAACCAAAAATGTTATCTTAATCAATGTACAATTTAGAATTTAATTAAGTATTTTACTTTTAGGGAATAATAATAAGACAGCATATAATTTCCTTTAGATTCGGATCAGAGCAAGGGATCTATTGGTTTTATTATGGTTTGTTTTTTTTTTTTTGTCTATAAACCACTTTTTAAACAGAAAACTTGCTTATTGAAAAATAACAAGATATCTTTTTTGTTGCATTTTAGATTAAGTTGCAGAGAAAGGAAGTTATTTTTTGATATAAGCATTTTTCATTATAAATAATTGGAAAAAACATAAAATGAAAACTGAGAAATCTATGGTGTACTATTTGTTGTTTTTAAGAAAACAACAAAAAAGTTGTTAACAAAACCATAATGACTGAACAACTGACAAATGTATTAAAGTTGCATGTGTACCTTATAGGGCATATGTCTCTAATGGCATAGTATGTACGTATAATTATACTTATTGACATAATAAAAATGATCAACCTTATGTTGATACCAACTTTATTAAAAAAAATTACTGCGTTCATGTAAAAGCGATAAAATGTATGAATAATTAAATAAAGGGTTTTTCCAACTCAACGTGAGATAATCATAACCGTGGTTAACAAATCCATGGACAATTAGGGATTACTGTAATGGTTTCATTATTTTCAACTTTGTTTTTTTGTTGTGATTCAATTAAAAATATCCGTTGACTTAAAATTTTGACAAAAAATTTATATTTACCTTTTCTAAACATTCTAAAAATACTTAAAACATGTTAGCGATTTTCTTAACTATTTACAAGGATTTTATTTTTGCAAGTTTTTTACATAGTTTTTATTTAATAGACACTATGTGGATACAATTTTTTGACCAAACAAAAATGCTTGAAAATTTAAGAGGTTTGTTACGAGTTGTATTTAGTGGTAAAAAATTAAGTATAATGTAGAATTTTTTTTTTTTATAATGATTTTAGGGCACACTTTGATAAAAATTGCGAATTTTACTGCCTTTCATATCATAATATATAAATAAACTTCCCGTAGAATCGTTTTTCATTAGCAATGGTTTATTATTACTTACAGATATAAATTAAAGAACTTTATGTATCCTACCTCCCCAACTTACCATCTACTACAACAGTAATGTGCCTCCCATCAGCAGTATCAGCCATTTTTTTTTTAGATTTTACAATATTTTTAAACTAGTTTTTCATACTCGTTTACAACAGAACCCATAATCGGTAATCACCCATAATCACATAATCGGTATATCTATAATTACTACAAAATCATATTTATCTTATTTCAAAAGTTAGCTTAGCTCAATTCACCTACTATAATTATTAATTTAAAATATATCGCTAGTTAACTTATTATGTAATCATTATGTAAGAAAAACTTACGATGGAAATCTCTCAATCATATCATTACACCATGTCATAAATCCAAATGTTATGATCAAAGCGGCATTAATTGTGAAAATACACATAAGAGCACATGTAATGGCATCAATGAATGTCAACAAAAACGAACTAAAAAAGATTAACAATTCAAATAAAATTAATAATATTTTTTGAATATATATATGTGTATATATATATATATATATATATATGACATATATCTTATTGATTTATATTTTTTATTAATACAGATATGAATATGGTAATAAAGGCAAATTATACATTAAATTCTGAGTGTAGTGAAGAAGTTATTAGTTTTATCATTGTTTTTTTTTTATATTTGGTAATAAAAAAAATATCAGTAGCTATTCTTTTTTTGATCCTTGAAAAATAAATATTTGAATAGAATTTCTTATTATAAAATTGTATAATTAAAAAATAAAATAAATTTTTGATTTCAATTAACCAGATCAAAAATGTGATCCCTAAAAATAACTAAAACAAAATTACATTATCATTAATAATATTGTATTGTACTTGGTATAATAAAGATAATATTACCTTCACTGTAGTTTATACTAATAATTTATAAATTAAAAATTATAGTATAAAATAAATAATGAAATGGTAAACAACTAATTAAACTATTCATATAAAAAAATCAAACAAATTTGAAATTACATACCTGTCAGTCCCTTTGTAGGCGAAAATTGACATTCTATATGTTTGAATTGATGATATAACCAACAACAAAACTCCAACAAAAATTGAATAATTACAATAAGCCTGAGATGCCCAGTTTACTACGAACTGGCCATTTTTCTCAAGCCATTGCCCAGAAGAAAATAAAAGACAATATCCTCTATAATATTAAAATATCAGTTAGATTTATAAATTATATGCATGAATATATATATATATTGATGTATTACTTAAATTCATCTTGATGAAGACTCATTGGTATAATAATACATAGTGAAAGAATTGCTGCTATAGTGTAACCAGCTATTTGACTTAACAATAATTTATTTGTAAGAGCCATTGATTCAAGTCTCAATTATCTTATGAGTAACAAAGATAAACATGCATAATAAGATTTATGTATAAAAACAATAAAAAATAAACACAACTTACACTGAATACACATGCAAATACAACTATTTTTCATGTGCAATATTCATAACAGAAAAACAATACTGCAATACAATTATATGTATTCTGTGTGATTCTGTGGTACAATGATAGATAATAAATAATAATATTATTATCTTTATTTAGATGTATCTAAATTCGTGACTCCTAACATATTAAGATGCTGCAGTCCTAGAGAGAAGATATAACCACTATATTATCTTTGTCTCACAAAGATACCACAATGGTTACTGCGGTTAATTATTTGATTAATAATTTTTATCATCACTAATGTGATAATATTATTGTTTTTACTTTCTAAAACGTAAAACGACTTTAAAGATTTTGCAATTTGCAAATTATTTAAATTTTACAACCAACTCTCATAACTGATTTCTTTTTAAATTATTAAATGGTTTATTATAAACGTTCATCATTATGGGGAACTGTACTTCAACATCAGATTCTTAAGCAATTTTTTTAGCTTTTGCATTTATTACATAAAATTCAGTCTACGAAATGCCGAATCCATATTTTCATGAACACTCAATTGTTTTCTCTCATTTGAATTTAAACATGTTTGTGACATTAATTTCGTTTTTATATCAAAGCCTAATTTGATGAGCTTGTGAAACTTCATTTAACTTCCAAATTAATATTCAAACGCATGGATCAATTTTATTTGTATCCTTCACCTTTTGTGTTTAAATCAGTTTTTTCTTGATATGGTGAGCGATGGCTGAAAACTTAAAAAAAAAATACCCTATACTAATCAATTTAATTAAAAAATTTAGAGTAAATTTAGTTGTGTAAGAAAATAAACTATTTCAAAAATTAATTTACCTAATAATTAATGAATTTTTGTATTTTGAATTGGAAATACATTGTCAGAAAGGCCTTACCAATTTAATTGAAAATTAATAACATTAGGATTACAACATAATAATGACAAATTATAAAACAAAACAATTAAGAAACCTTGAATTTTAGTAAAATAAGAAAAACTATAAATATTATAGGTAACTAATAGGCACTTAAAAAAAAGATATTAACATTAGGTAAAGCAAAACTTACCAATAACATCATCATTTCCAAGGAGACAAAAAAAATATTCTCTAATTTACATCAACATCTAATGTTAAACTAAATTATAATAAAAAATTTAAGCATCATTTTGTAATGCTTTTACAGTATTTTACAAATGCAATAAAAGATTATTTTTAATACTTAAGCTTTTAGGTTTTATAATACATTTTTCTTAAAAATTCAATAGCTGTATATAACATAATAAAGTATAATATATAATGTGGTAATTAATTGAATTTTTCAGTATATTTAACTAATAAAGAATTAATTTAAGTAAAAAAATGTAATAAAAGTGATGCTCATTCTTAACAGCCAGGATTCATATTATATATATATTTGTCAATATTATGATAGATTGTATTTTAGTAATACTCTGGAGATTTAAGGATGAATCGCTGTTTAATATAATTATTCACTCATCTCATCTGTGACTGCAGTTTGGACTTACAACTGACTATGCCAAATCTGAAAAAAATAAAAATAATAATTATTTGTTTATCTAAAAATATGGAAATGAATTGAAAGAATTAAATAATAAATACAAAACATATTTTATCGGAAAATTAAAAATAAACTCGGAAATAAATTATTAAAAATAATTTAGGTCCGGAGCTGCCAAAAAAATTTCTAAATGTAAAAAAAATCCTCAGGCAAAGTAATTTTTTAATCATGAAATTTTCTCAGGTGATTTTATATGAATTAATTTGATTTTTGTTTTTTTTTTTAAATCATTATGGAATCTTTTAAGCTTTAATTTAAAACCATTTTTTTTATTTTTTACCCCTACTCCATATACCATAGTGATAAATTGCCTTTCTATAATCCTTCCCTATTCCACCGGTTTAAACATTAAGCTGTTATAACTCATAAATGATAAATCTGATATTGGTAATATGCATTTCAAAATGTCTATAAAAATATTGTCTATTCAAAAGTATGTATTTATTTAAGGTACATCGCATAGGGGTAAAAAATTACGAATGGTTTTAAAATAAAGCTTAAACAATTCCATAATGATTAAAAAAAAAAAAATAGAAATCAAATTCACTCAAAAAACTCTAAGATAATTGCTGGTTTATGATAAAAAAAATTACCTTGTATATGTATAAATAAATATCTAAATATAATAAACTTAATATAAAGTGTACAATATATCTTTCCTGGACTAAATCATTTAAATTTAATTACCTGTTTGAAAGAAAATTCTTTTTGATTCTGAGTGGAGCAAAGAATGTATTGATTATACAATGATGTTTATTTTTGTATATTTTTCATGAAAACTGTTAAGAAACTGGTAGATGCTGATAAGAGCTAGGTATCTAGTCACCGTTTGCGTTTAATTAATTAAACAAAGCACTGTTTTAATAATTGTGGAAAATTTGCTGAACCAATCAAAGTGATGTGATAGCCAATGGTAGTTTTAGCAAGGATTAAAATACGCAGAATAACGGTATTACGCGGTCGGCGTACATGACAAGACACCATAAGATACTACCTACTCCTTAAATGTTGTAAAAAATCTAAGTATACAAAAATATCGCCATTCTTGCATTTAAAAATTCTAAAACACAAAATTTGAATTCATGCATAATTTTACCATATAAATGGAATGAGCATGCAAATTTACTTTTTTTTAGACCTAATTTACCGCTGAAATATTTGAATTTTTCTTCCATGATAACATAACTACTACTTACTTGATGATTGGCTATTCTCCCTATACATCCATTTTCTTTTGTATATTCTTCTCCATGGCCATGTTTTACTTTTCACTCATTTTTTAATCAATTTTTTAGATTTCTAAAATAAAATTCCAATATTCTCGCCTCTCGATTGGTTTTTTTTTTCTTTTAAATAATCTGTATTAAGTTATAACATTTACATTATAACATACTGTGTGTAATGCCAATATAAATGTTAAATGGTAATTTTTGTATTCGTTTAATTTTTGGTGTTTTATAATTTAAAGATTTTACAATCACTTTGAATTTAGTCAATTTGTGATATTATTTGTTTAAGAGCAGAACATAATAATTCAGATTTAATTCTTTAATAATTTAGTTTTACCTGAACTAAATTTTAATATATACCTACTATTAAAACTAAACATGATGAACGGAAGTGTTGGTTTTGTAAGTATTAAACTTAATTAACTAAAATGACAATTAACTCTAACAAAAATCAAATATAATTATTATGATTATTTATTTAAATGTAAAATGTTTTAAAATTCAACTTTGAGAGTCTTTACAAATCCATGCTAGTTTAAATTAATTGTATTTAGGTAGTTGAATTATTTACATTTTTAAAGTTTGTTATACTTAGGTATTATAACCTAATTATTTATTTATTTATTACCTATTATTATTTATTATTACTTAGGTTGTTTTATTAGGATACATATAAACAATTTTATATATATATTTTAAAGTTATTTTTAGGTAGGCATTAGATTATTGTTATTATTTTATTATAAAAATCAGTAATATATTTATCTTTGATTTTAACCCTTGTATAAGTGGAGTAATCTCTTCTTTTCTTTTCTTCCATATTTCTACCCATCACCGTATCTTTATCAACTAATCCGTATCTTAAGGGGGAATCTCTTAATACTGTTAGCTACTTTTATATTAATCCAATATAAGTTAAATTTCATCTATAATATTGTTAAATTTTGACTAAGTAGACATTATACCTGCTTTTCTATCTTAGTTTAACTACCTAATGGGTGTCAACAAAATTACATTGCATTACTTAGAGTTTAAATTTTGGGGATTAAGTTATGATTCAATTTTAAACACATAGACAAATTCTTTGTTAGTTAGATTGAAGTAGTAGATATGGCTAAACCATAGTTTTAAGTATACATACTTTTCAATTTTGATAATCAATAGTAATGTTAAAAAATTTAAGATGGCACTTTTAAATAGTATGATTTAATATTATATCTACTTACTCATTTTGGTATAAATCTAATTTACGACTCAAGCTCATTTTTCAAATTGTTTTTTCAATATATATGTTTTTGTCTGTATATTAAGAATCTAAAAAAAGTAAACAAATTTTATTTGGAAGTTATAGGGGGAAAATGTATGAAATTCAGGTTTTCTGTTTCGTGTATTTCTTAGTGAAAATTAAACATTTTTTTTTTTTTTCAAAATATGTGATTTTTAATGCTTAATCCATTTGTTTAATCAAAACTTATCTATAATACTTATTTTTATAGTTATTTTACATGAACCTTGAAACATAGCATTTTTGGAATTAATCCAAAATGTGGTCGTTTTTATTATTATTATGATTTTTAGTTTTTGATATTTTAATAACAGAGTTTTTTTTATTGAGTCTATCTGGCTTATATTTGGAGTTACAAACGTTCAAACCCTAGTGACCGCCAGGTCTCTAGGTGCACTAAAATACTATTTTTCAAGGTTTATGTTACATAACTTCAAAAGTAAGTATAATAGATAAGTTTTGATTATATCAATGGATTAAGCATTAAAAATCACACATTTTGAAATACAAAAATTTGAAAATGTTAAATTTTCACTCAGAAACAGAAAATTCAAACTTTATGAAATTTTCTTCTATAATTTCCAAACATAGTTCGTCTGACTTTTTTTTAGATTCATAATGTACAGGCAAAATCACATATTTTGAAAAAAAAAAATGAAAAATGAGCTTGATTAGGTTAGGTAAACTAGATTTGTTCCCTCACTTTTTGTATTACAACTTCACTTTTAAAAATTTTTAAACAATAATTATGCCTAATTATTTATTTGTACTATTTAGCAACAACAACCATTTATCAATACATTGCCTACAGCTAACTCCAACAACTTCCAATCTCCATCCATCCCCTCTTCGATTATGTCAAATGGCACAGAAGGAGAACCAGAAACTAAAATACCAAGACATGAAGGTATAGTATTAGTACTATTAAATAATCATCTAAATTCTTCAAAATTTAACTTTTTTGATTAAGTAGACTAAGGTATTTCAAATAAAAAAATATTTATTTAAATTCTTATATGTTAAAAATAAATGTATATTTTGGTTTTACTGCTTATAGTATTTATTATATAATACTGCTTTCAAAAATATGTATAATTTGTATACTTATACAAAAAGATTTTAAATTGTTTATATCCTTGTATTTCAATAATGTGTTTAGGTTTAAAAAATTATGTTCATATTCGCAATTATTATTCAACATTTTATAGTATCAAAAATAAAATCATAATAATTTACCTCATAATTTACTTATGTGAATTGAATACCATTATTTTCTATCTTTATCTATACAATAGAGCATTTAAAATGCATTTTTCTTTAATCAGTCTGATCAATTTCGTGAAGCGATAGAAATGGAATTATAATATACAGGAGATTGGTCAGGTAACATTTTTCTATTAAATTTTAGATTTTTTTTTCATATTAAATTTTTGGAAATTAAAAACTGGAATTCTAAAAATTTACCAGGCTTATATCATGTATATTTCACAGAATCTAATTTCAGTGTTCTTTTCTTCATCAATTGGACTGATTATTGATATGAAATTGATATGCTGTATATGTGTTAGATAAAAAAAGAAAATATCAGTATCAAATCCCCATAAGTCATTAATAACATATTTAAATATCTCTGGTTAAAAAAATAATACTTTTTATAGAATTCATTGATTTCACCTAATTTTATACTGTATTTGAATACAATTAAATTGGTTTTTTAATTATTAGGGTGCAATATATCTCTTTTTAAGTTCATAAATAAATACAATTTTGTTATAACCGTACCTACCACAATGTTATCTTGATCTATATTATGCATATTTAATGTCAGGTTTATTATTTCCTACTTATTTCTAGAAATAATATCAGATCTCAATAAATTTATTTTAAAATTAATGTTTAATAAATAATTTTTAAAAAAAATTACTTAGTTGAAACAAAAAAAGTAAATACCTAAAATCTCATTTAATACTATTTTCAATGTATTTCTATAATTATGTCCTGAGTTAATCTACTGGTTAAACTAATCAATATACTTTTTTTTTTTTTTGAGATGTTCCAGGCAGTTTACCAATAGCACTAGTCTATACGCTTCTCGCACATCAAACGATTAAATTACCTAGTTTGTAGGGAAGGGTGTGTGCAATTCCTAAAAACATTTTTTCCATGTAATTATTTTTTTATCTATATTTTACTAATCTTAATTCATCAAAGACCGCCTACCTATTAACATGTAGAAACAGAGCTAATTATGACTCAATTATGTTTTGGTATGCTTATGTTTACAGATTTACATTCAATCATATCATTATTTTATGATGAATTTGTTTCCAAAAATTGTTCTACGGAGATGATTGACTTGTCAAAATAAAATATATATTATATATAATAATATAATATATAAACATAATTATTAAAATACATAATAATTGTCTGAGAAATTATAATTTGGTGTTTATATATATCATATTATATATTATTTATTAAAACCATTAAAACATACTTTATTTAGCATTTTAAATAAATATATCAGAAAACATCAATGTTATATTGTGTATACATTTTTCAATTGATTTTTTAAGTGAAATTAATTCATCAAAATTTCCAACAAATTTGGCAACTTATCCTTTTAAGGTGACATTTTAATTTTAAATTGTATGTTAATAATTAGTAGGTTATATCATGGGTTGCTAAATTCTATTTTTAAATGATTTAATGGATGTAGGTGTATTTTCCAGAAATATATTATTCATCCAAAATTTTGTTTGTTTTGGATCAATTGATTTCAGTTTTGGAGTTAACTTTCAAATTGGTCCATTATGTAGGCCTGTGGTTGTTTAAAAATGTTGTAAGTATAATTGACGACTAAATTAGGAGAATTTAAACATATATCTACTTTATATTTTATTTTGGTTTGTTTTTGTTTTCGTCATGCTCTTCTGTGTTGTCTCCGGACCAATATCCCTCTACTAGCAAGTGCAGCCACCTGAGCAAGTCAGGCCTACTACCCGTTGCGGTTAAGGTCTCTCAAATGGAAATTCAATACCTTAATGGTGTAATTTGATACATATGTAAACATGCAGCAAACAACATCTAATCAAATAACATTAATGTGTATTTAAGGGGAAAGGATGGATATTTTTGACCTATTATATAAGTTGATTTTTATCTTATAGATAAATTTGAAAGATATTTTTGCTGCTTGTTTTATGTTAACTAAAACAATATTTTGTGTAACTTTTGCATAGATTTTTTTTTTTTTAAAAAAAAGGATATAGGTTTCACGTATTTAGAGAATTAATTTTCTATTATTAACTGAACTATTTATTTAGGATTCAGTAATTATGATTTTTGTGGTTTACATAAAATATGTTTTCTTTAAATTTTAAAATTATAACTGTTAACATTTTCTATATATTTATTTATGTTAATCTTAGTATATCTTAAAGTTACATAAATTATTATATTTAGTATTACAATATATTTTTTTTTTTCAGCCAATACTTAATTGTTCTTATAAGCTGATGTTGATGTTTTTATTGTTTTTGTCTACTTATATTAAATTATTTTATTAACACATTTTTTCCTTTCAGTCAATGGCAATGCATCATTCACTACTGCACCATATGACTTCAATCAAGTAGGCACTTTAATATCAGGTACTTACTTAATTACCAAACTAAAAGAGACATTGTTTGTGTTATCTTGCATTATTTATTACTATATGTGATAATAATGTATTGCTGTATATAAAATTGTATTAATATAAAAAAATTATATACCGAAGATGTCATTATAATTTATAATAAATTTATATTTCCTAGGTCCTGGTTCAAGACTTGGTATTTTAGGTGCTCTTGCTGCTCCTTTAATCAAATTAAATACAGAACAAAATGAAGCTGTGGCTAAAGCAAAAAAATATGCTATGGAGCAAAGCATAAAAATGGTGTTAATGAAACAAACTTTAGCCCACCAACAACAACAAGCAAAGTCTTTTCATCGCCATCAAGCTTTAATATTAATGTGCAGGTCTGTAAAATATTAACTTTTATTAGTTTACAATTTTATATGAAAAAAAAAACAACAATATGATGACAAATGATTTACAATATTGAATAAGTTGAGACTATTATTTGATAACATTTATTGTGTTTCCTTAATAAGTGATTAATTAGCTGATAAGATCTGATTGTTGTTTATTTTAAAAATTAACATCAATTTAATTTAAAAATTAAACATTAAGTTAACATAGTAAAAATTGTTTTTAGAGTATATGTTGGAAGTATTAGTTTTGAACTTAAAGAAGATTCTATTAAACAAGCATTTTCACCATTTGGTTGTATTAAATCAATTAATATGTCTTGGGATCCAATTACACAAAAACATAAAGGTTTTGCATTTGTAGAATATGAAATACCAGAAGCTGCACAACTTGCACTTGAACAAATGAATGGAGTAATGCTTGGTGGTCGAAATATTAAAGTTGTAAGTATCAATTAAATGTTAATATAATTATTATAATTAAAATATCTAATTTAGTTGAAAACAAAATTATTTTGTACTAGTTTTTTTACTAAGGAACTTTGAACTCCAAAAATTCTTAAATAAGTAGTACCCTAATTTATATATTATATTGTATAATATATTACTCTATTTATTTTCAATATGTTACTGTTTACTGATTTGTAGGTTGGACGTCCTAGTAATATGCCACAAGCACAATCGGTCATTGATGAGATTCAGGAAGAAGCTAAACAATATAACCGTATTTATGTAGCATCTATACACCCAGACTTAACTGAAGATGATATCAAAAGTGTATTTGAAGCCTTTGGTCCAATAAGGACTTGTAAACTTGCACAAGGTAGTACTCCAAATAGACATCGCGGTTATGGTTTCATAGAGTATGATGGTCGTCAAGCAGCTATTGAAGCAATATCATCAATGAATCTTTTTGATCTTGGTGGCCAGTATTTAAGAGTTGGTCGTGCCATTACTCCTCCAAATGCTCTACATGTGTGTTTTAAAAGATAAATAAAATAACTTAGTGAACATATGTAATAATTTATTACATTTTTACTTTTTAGGGACCTTCATCTGCTAGTCATATGCCTACTGCTGCTGCTGTTGCTGCGGCTGCAGCTACAGCAAAAATTCAAGCAATGGATGCTGTTGCTACAAATGCAGTATTAGGATTAAGTAAATTAAGTTCTCAATTAGGGGCTGCTCAAACAGCTGTTTTACCTGGTTTACAACAGTTACCTACCACATTAGGTATAACTCCTGCTGCTCCTGCCACTCCTATTATACCTCCACCGGGAATAGCTATGCCACAGAAAATTAGAGCTCCTGTACCAATAATACCAGGTAATTTATTTTAGATTCTTAATATAAACTTATAAATTATTATTCTAAAAGCTTTGTATCGTAAAATATTATGATTAAAAATTTACAATTACAAATTTAATTTATCATATTTATAGACACATAAAACCAAACTTATGTGGCTCACCAATAACAAGTAGCACATCCATGCGATATCTACTTAAAATATTATTTACAATAACAATATACTATTATAAATTGTTTTGTTTAATAATTTTAATTTATTTACTTAAAAGTTAAACAAACGTTTAGTATTAAATTAATATTTTAGAAATACAAATAGCTTTTAATGATATTTTTTATAATTATTAAGGCTTATTATTACTAACTGATCAGTTTAAAAAATAATATGAATAAATAGAGCATTATTTGCCATGTCAGCATTTGTGTTTTATAATTTTGATTCTGAGTATTACAAAGATGTATTAATGATTTTTTTTAATACTCCTGAGTTTTTTACATAATACATTAAAAAATTCAAACATTTCGGTATTGAAGTAGGTTTTCGAAATTACAATACATAGATAAGCTGTTTTAAAATATAAAATTGTATTATAATTTATTAATTTACAAAGAAAGTAAACTATAATTATATAAAAATAATAATAATCATAGTTCTTAAATATTAAAATAATAGGAATTTTCAATACTTAAGATTATTTACAATAGGTCCCATAATTTATAGAAGTAATAATTTAAATTAATTTTTTTACAGATTTGTAACAAGTTATTATTCTATGTTTTATTGTAACTACTTTTTTATTATTTTAATTTTATGCCAATTGTTGGTAATTATAATTATATACAAATTAATAACAATATTTTAAATTACAGTGTTTCTAAAAGTTTTATATTCTAAAACATACATACAAAACATTTCTGACTTATGTTAGTTTATTTAAAACAAGTTATTGAAATGTTTAACTGTTAACTCCCTAAGGCCCTTTTTTAATTTCCTGTTTACCTGAGCAACAAAAGGAAAATACTCATACTACTCATCTCAAAATATTTTTTTTTGTTTGAACTGATATATTTTTGCCAATAGTATAATAACTAAATTACCTTAAGAACTACCCATATACACCAGTGGTCTACCTATGGTGTAAAATAATTTCAATTTATTCTGCTCTAAAAAATAATTACCGTATCACAATTATACCATAGAGAAATTAGACTGACACACTTAGTCATGGCAAGTAAATCCTTTACAGGTTAGTTTAGATGTATATAGTTATAAAATCCATAAAACTCTAATTTTATAAAAATAAAAACTAATGTTAATTTAAAAAAAAAAAAAAAACAATTATAACTATTAATAATTATAATTTTAATAAATAATAACTTTAATCATGTTCTCATGATGTAGCTATTCAAAGATGTATGTGAAGTATAATTATATATACATGTCTCGTTAAAATTGGTTTTTCTTTCATTTTTAGTAACAAGTGGATTAAGCCCTGTAATTCAACAATCTATACCTCCGCCAGCCCTCATTAATCCCACACAGTTAGCTGCGCCTGTAGTTCCAATAGTAACTGCAGATGCACAAAAACGAGCTGATCAACAAAAAAAACAAGAAGAATTACAAAAAAAATTATTGGAGGAGACTGAACCCCAAACATTACAACAACAAGAAAATATGTCTATCAAAGGGCAAAGTGCTAGACATCTTGTTATGCAAAAATTAATGAGGAAAACTGAGGTAAATATTTAAGAGTGATAAAATAACTCTAGGCTTTGTTTAGACTGCCTAGAGTTATTTTATACTAGACTATTTGGGTGGTATTTAATTTATTAAATGTATGCCATAATATAATGTGTACAAAATATATCTATTACTATATTTTATTGTTAATTTAAATGAATTTTATGTTTAATTAAGTTTTGATTCATTTTAAATAAGAAAGAGGCATCTGTACTACATTCTCTAAAATTTCTATTTATTTCAAATACTGTAATAGTTTCAGTGTAAATAATAATTAAAGATTTAAAAGAAATAATTTTAAATATTATAGTTGATTTTTAAATCTAATGAATCATTTGTTATTTCTTTATTTAACTTAACTAACATTTTAATAAAATTTTAATAAATTGATTAATATACCATTACTGTTAATATAGAGTCGAGTTGTTATTCTAAGGAACATGGTTGGTGTTGAAGATGTTGATGATAGTTTACAGGAAGAAATTCAAGATGAGTGTAGCAAGTAATTTGTTTGCATTTATTAACTAAAAACATTGATTTCAATATGTTAATATTAATTTCTTTTAAGATATGGTGTGGTTGAACGAGTTATTATTTATAAGGAAAACCAATCGGATAGTGTGGATGATGATTCTGATATAATAGTAAAAATATTTGTTGAATTCACACAAATGTCAGGTAATTTCATATTTATTGAATAAATTATTCTTTTGGTTGCATTAATTGATATGATCATTATATTTCAGAGGCTGAACGAGCTCGAGATTCTTTAAATGGTCGATTCTTTGGTGGCCGTTTAGTTAAAGCTGAACTTTATGACCAAGCTTTAATGGACCATAGTGATTTTTCTGGTTAATATTATTTTATATACCATATTATTATTAATTTATATGTATATTATTTTACTTTACTATGCAATTATTGTTTTAATATTAACAACACTATATTACATGATTATTATTAAATTATGTAAAAAGAAGTTGTAAATAATAATAATAATAAAAAAATATATATATATATTTGCCTTAAATATGAAGTTTTTTGTTAATTTGATTGATTTGGTTAAACTAAAGCAATTATTGTTTCTCTACTTACTTCTTCAAGAACATTTAACAATTTACTATGCAATGCATAGTTTTATTGTAAGTTTAAAAACATGCACTATTTGTTAGTTTGGTTAAGTAAGATTTTCTTTAACAACTTAAAATATCTAAACTTAAAAAATGAATTATGAATAAATTTACAAAATGTTATATTAGGTACCTACATAATGTTATTGTTATAATATGATTTTAAATTCATTGTAATTATGTTATATATAATATATAAGGTTATAACATAATTAAATTTATACAATATATATTATATAATTATGTTATATAGATTGGACAAATATTATTTTATTTGATATTAGATTAAATGATTTCTATTTTTAAATATTTATTATTTATTTTAGATTCTATATTGGAATTGTATACTAGTGTTTTTGGTTTATCTAACATGGACATTTTTTTAATTTTGATGTTCAGTAAAGCTAATATTACAAGCTTTTTATGTGCACATAATTTAATAGTATTATTTATCATATGAATTTACTTATCAACCCACAAATCTCAGTTTGTGTTTTTAACATATTTCATAAAAATAAAAATAATAGGATTGTTATTAGTTTTTCTTTTACCAGTAATTGAAACGTACGACAAACTTTGTATAAAAATATTGCCTTTTTACACACCTATTCAAAAAATTAAAACTATTGGATACTACTTATGTTTAGAAAAAAAAAAAAACACAAATTATGATGTATTTGTATTATGTATACCTACTAGCTGGTAAACATAGAAAATAATTATCATTTTGTTAGGTCATCATATTATATCTAACCATTTTAACCTTCAAAAACATTTAAGTGTTCAGGTCTAGCAATATTTGATTAAATTATTTTACAATGTTGGGTTAAATTTGTTTTCACAATGACAAGTTAATTTATGACTATGGTACTAGATTAAGACAATTTAAGTTAATACTCTTATCCATAGGTATCTATGTTTAAATTATAAAAAATAAAACATATTTTAATAAATAAATAAAAAAAGACATCCTAGGATAATGGGGACGAGTGCAGCCACTGTTATAGGTAATTTAATATATACCTATAAGCAACGATAAATCATTGCTAACAAAAAAAAAATCTGAGCAGAGTTCAGTTGATACCTCACCATACCAATTTCCTTTCAGAAAATGTGCTACACTTTAAAATCAGAACAAGATCTCTGGTAGCAAAATTATCCACAGAAAAAAAATTTAATCATCTTTATAAACCATAAACTTCTTCACTCCACTCAGAATCTAAAATAAAATAGGCACCTAAATAGAAAAGAGGTGATGCTGGGGGCGGATGCAGCCACTGTTGTAGATGGGAAGTTGGAAAGGTGGGTTACATAAAATTATTTAAATTATATTGATTATAATGATTCGATAAAACATATTTTGAAATACCATTATTTTCAAGCATTTCTCTAAAGTAATATAATTATTTTAATAACAGTTGTAATGTATTAATAACCTAACTAATAAAAATACACAGGTGTAAAAACATGAAAATATCAAATAGGTACCTATAAATAGTTAAAATGTTTTGAAAATTTTACCACATCCACTTAAGGCTAATCCAAGTATTTTGTGAAAACTACAGGTCTCTACAATAATTTTTAAATGAATAACAACAAACAACTCAAATGCCGTACACTTTGCCAAATTTTCTATGTTTTTGAAAAAATAAAAACATTAAGACGGTAACGCCGCGGCCCACCGTAAATATTTGCCGTTTTACTTATAATTTCTTTCGGGTTTTCCTAATCATTTCGAAAACCCCTTAGGAATTCAAAAAATGATTATCCCAACGCACCCAGTAGTAGATAAAATCACCTTTCAGAAAAGATGCTACACTTAATGATTCTAAGTAAATTTTCTTTTCGAAAAGTTGTTTTCAGACAAAAAAAGCTGTCCTAGGATAATGGAAACGGGTGCAGCCACTTTTATAGGTATTTAAGTGTATACGTGTATATGCAACGATTAACTATTGCTAACGAACAAACGATTCTGAGCCGAATTTGGTTGATAGTGTTACTTTTTCAACAATATATACATATATATTTATATATATCATATTGTAAAATAATTACATATGCATTATATATTTTTTTTAATAAAATTGTTTTAATGTTGTACCAATTTTCCCAGTCTTCCTACGTTAGATATACCATTCCGGAAATTTATTTTTGATTTTAAATAAATAAAAGCATGGTTTTTTCATGTAAAATATGGTAATGGTTGGTGAATGAAGCAGTGATAGGTGGCAATCATAGACATATACCTGGGATATGATATTGTAGCTTAGTGGATGTATTTGATTATTGAATACTTTTGAAATTTATCGTACTTAATGGTTAAGGTTAAGCTTGAATTCAATCATTACAGGGAACACTACTTTTTTTTTAATCCCCGTAGTAAACTCTTCTTTTATTTTTCCAATTCAAACACTGCAGATAAATAGGAACCGTAGTTTAACGTTTAACATTTTATCGTGTTATTTTCATCAGGTTTTAAGACCATATAAATGGTTGCGTCACGAAAAAGAGATATTTGACCGTTAAATGTTTTTTACACAAACCTTGTCAAAAATCACGGCTAATATATTAATAGCCATGTTAAAAACCTGCAGTTCTGCTGTGATGCTGTGTAATCTTGTGCGAGCAATAATAATTAATACATATATATTAATACGTATGTATAAATATATATTCTCATTTGCCTTCATCCTAGAAATGTTAGGGTCGCGATCGAACCTCGTTCTAAACTTCCACCTCGCATACACTGACTTAACTGTCCCCGAGTAATCTCATATCATTTGCAATCGCACTAAGCTTCTTTTTCGGACTTTCTCCTCTTACGCTCCCCCAACATTTATTTTCATTATCATTATTTTACTGCACCTCTCTCCTCGCGACACGTCCAAACTATCTCGGTCTACTTTCTCTCATTTGATTGACGAAACCACACCTATGCTATTTATTTTGTACGCGTCCCTTATTGATTATCTCCTATATTCTCTCGTCACTACACATAATTTTCCGTTCTACTTTTCTGTCTAAGAAACTGGTTTTTTCGCTAGCAATGGTTTATCGATACTTACAGGTATACATTAAATTACCTATAACAATGGTTGCACCCGTTTCCATTATCCTAGATCAGCTTTTATTTTGAAAAAAGTTAATATTTTTCGAGATAGTTTGTAATACGTGATACGTTACTTCGTGAGTAATACACAAGGAGCGCCGACCGTATACAGGTTATCGATAAGAAGTAGTTAAGGACTTTCGGTAACGTCCACGGACTAAACTATTGGATACTAAGATCGTATAAAGAATAAGACCTTTGTCCGTGATACCGTCACAGATATAGAATAAAATAGGTGGATACTAGATAAATAACTGACGTTTTCATTTGACACCAGTCGCCAGGTGCCACCACCGCACCATATATGCACGATGGCCAATGCATAAAATAGATAATTTCATCTATTTCGCATAAAGTCAATGATTCCGTGTTAATATTTAAACGGGGCTATGGGTCAATGTTCAAATTTTATCAAAATAAACAATAGAAATACAGCATAGATAAAATAATAATAACAATAATAATATTGATTGATCGATGTTATCATAGTATCTTATTGACAATAGCCATAGAGTATAGCATATAAGCTTACCACAATCTATTAGGTCATGCTCACAGATATGAAAAAATAATTGGATAGCCGACTTTGGTATTATTATTTTCGCCAACGAAATGGCCGCTATCCTTATTTAAGAAGTGAATGTTATGTTATGTTATGTTTTAGTATTGATTAGGAACGATGTTATTATATCCCATTCCCTAAAAAAAAATTAAATACCATGTACAGTTAAGTTCCAAAATAGTACCTTACTATCTTATCACTTATCATATCAGTTTAATTTGTTAATATTCACCTAGACGAAGATTGGCGGTCATTTTGATGGCGAAATTTTTTTATACGTATAGACTATAACAGTCGGCTATCTAGTTGTTTTATACATCTATGATCATTCCAGATGAATTCCGGAAAAAAAGAACAGTTTTACAATTTTGAATATAATAATTGATTATAAAATAAAAAATGCATATTAAAACACTAGAACGCTTTGACACTTTAGTGGCTTTTGACGGACTAATTAATTTGGTTGACTCAAATTATAGCATGCAAGTATGAACAATTCTTCATAGATAATTTCAATGATGGAAAAAATGAAAGATATATAACTACTCATTATTTTGAAATGATTAACTTTTTTCATATAATTTTTTACAATTATAAAACCAATATTTTTCCTAAGAAATATGTTTTTTATGTTTCAATATTTTTAAAAATCATTAAATATTTATTTAATTTTCATAGTTAATTTTCTATATATTTAAAATTATAAAATTGTTTTTTTTTGCTTATTTTTTTCCTTGATTTTTTTTTACCGATTACCGCTGGAGGCCCATAGTTTTATGATGATACTGGCTTAAAATCATAAAAAAAATACAACTATAATTATAATACATTTGCACAGAAGATAGAAATACAATTTAAACAGATATTTTATTATTATTTTCTCCTAAAGGTCTCCTATCCCAATAAGCGTTTTGCTACCTCTTGTTACAAAATTATTGCAAGACCAGTTGTCTCTTGCAATTGTAGTGGTTGTATTTAACATCATATCTTTTTCTCAGGGAAATGATGTTTCCAGCTGTGTGCGGATTAAATTAACCATGTTAATAAACACTTTTTTTTTGGCTTTTCTTTTTTGACTGTATATCTTGACTGTCTTCTGTGCAAATGGTTTCATAATATTATGTTACAGTCGTATTTTATTTTATGATTTTAAGCAATTATCATTATTATAATTGTTGGAATGTTATCAATTGAAATACAGCGAACAGGGCTCACTATTTACAATGGATCTCTAGCAATGAGCGGTATACTCTTAAACCGTGCTCTTAGATCATATACTATAGATGGAGGCTCCATCATGGAGCACGGTTTAAGATAGACACTAGACAGGTTGCGCAACGAACCTATAGATTCTGAGACACAAAGTTTCCATACTAGTATTGCTGGTAAGAATTGCGACTGGCGCTCGAATGGTACATTTTTAATCGAAATATATTTTCTTCAAACCACAGCGCATATCTTTAATCATTATTGATATAATGATACAGGTATTTTGATAGTAAATTGTTGTCTATCTTAAACTGTGGGATGGAGCCACGTCCCGATGTTTAATTACTTATAAACGACTACTGACGAGTCTTTCGTGGAGATGTGTTATCTGGGCATGCTTGAGTACACTCGTCGCATATTTATTCCCATTATTGTATTCTCCCTGGAAATTCTTGAATGAGAATTAAAAATTCTTGAAATCTTGTGTATTATCCACAGATGTATATAAAAATTAGATATCCAACTTCGCATTTACCGTATTATGGTATAGCGAAAGAGTCGCTATCTAATGGACTTTATACGGTTGATTGCATTACATAGAACAATGACTTCTGCGTTTCATTTTAGTAATCTCGTTTCGTTGTAATAATTATAAATATAGCTTTATTTGTTGATATTATGGATGACCACAATTTATTTATATCCTAACTAAATGGATAATAAAAATGCATAAATTAAAACCTGTATTGAACCTACATAATATATTATGATATACAATGTAGTGTTTAAAATGTACTTCGTGAGGTTGCTCCGATTTTTAAGTGTAGCACCTTTCCTGGTTTTTGGAAAATTGGTGTGGGGTGGGAATTTTAGGGTGTCATTTTTAAATTTTCCAAGGAGTTTTCTCAACAAATGTGAAAAACATGGAAAAAACCAGGAAAATCGGTACAACATTAAACAGATATTATTAAAGAAAAGATATAAAGCCTATTTAATTGTTTAACTATAATATGTCATATATAAATATATTGTTGATAAAGCGTGACGCTTGGTATATTAACGTGTCACTGTCATTCAAATTGATTAAAGTAAAGATAATCATCTCAAGTAATGAGGTATGAAGTATTTATTTAATTTGACACTATTGTGTAACTAGTTTTTTTTTTTAACAGTCACATTTTTTTTTTTTGTTTTTCCTGTTTGCATACAAATATTAAATTTATAGCTTTATAATATACATAAAATTATAAAAACATATGGTGTTGTGTTATTTTTTGTTATAAACCTATAATACTTTTTAGATAAAAAATTAAATCAATAAGTCACTATCAAATATAAGTTTTTATTTATTTATTATAAATAACTTTTTAACTTTTTTAACTTATTTACGTATTATAAATGTTAAGGAGTATAAAAACATAATCTTTTGCTCTTTTGCATAGACCCAACATAAAAAATCTAAATCCCAGACTGAGATGTCTTACTAAAAAAATTCAGCTTATCAAAGAAATGTATTTACATTGTGACCAAGTCTACTTTTCTTTTGGCCATAATCTCACCCTACTCATAATTTCAAACAAAAACGATACCCTTATATTTGTATTTCTTAAAACNAAACGTAAATAATTCCTGATCCTGCCCCTAATTCATGACCACCAGTTTTTACTTTTTAGTGGTACCCACTTGATCTGTTCAGTGTTTAGACACACAATACATAGTTTTACTATCTCACATGTCATTGAGAACTAATTTGATTTTATTTACAATTTTGTATAGGTAATAAAATGTAATAAATACAAGTGACAACAAATGACAATGCCCTTGTATAAAATGTGTAAACTATTCTATAATGAAGATGTACGATGACAAAATATTACTTTTGACGAGTAATTACTCTATGGTGTATATAATGATTATAGACACGATCACGATCTTAGAAGCAATCCGTGGACACGATCGAAAATCAAAAATAAAGCATGTGTGATAACAATCGGCATTAAACGATGTTAACATTGATCAACACGCTTAATATAGCGGCTGCGTTCGACATTCTGCGTCGTTTATTATTCCGACGTATAACAAGTTAGCCTTATTTATTATTTTATTTGCACAATATTCAATATCTGTGAGTGGTGGGTGTCGCTTTTTTCAGCAGAATGGCCTGCAGCCTAGCAACCATTTATATCTATAGCCGTGGTTAGATAATGATGACGTTTTACCATTGATTGTACATAACCATCTGGTTTTGTTTTATATTATTTATAGTATTATGTCGTTGCTGATAACTGATAATAGTGATAACTAGTGATTACCGAACGACTACACACGATACCTACGGTGTACTATAGTTTCCGTCTATCATTCGGTGTTGCATTATCGTCGTAAATGTAAAATATAATACTATTATTTTTTTGTAGTTATTCAGTTATAAACGAATAAAACTGCCAAAAGAACATCGTCTCTAAAAAAATTAAAATTTAAAGGATGTTTTTACATAACAAATCACACGCGTTGTTTAACAATTTACCGGTTTTCAATTTTTAGTTTTTATTTTTAATATTAAAACTTATTTGTAATCATCATTTTCAATAGTTCGATGATAATAATTCTATACTAATTCGTGATTATCAATAATACCTATTAAATTATTCAATCAAACTAGGTTCGGTGGAATGCCGTCTTATGAGACATTGAGGTAAAACATTTATACCCAAAACGCCATCATGTCCTCTCTATCCGTTTTGGACACTATATCCTTTACCATTCTTTCTGTGATATTCATTCCGTTTTTCCTATTTTTCCTTGGCATCGTTTTATTTGCATACATTGGCAAAACACTTGGCCTACAACGAATTTACGTCGAGTTTCTTTTAAAAGTATTCGAGGTAAGTACCTACCACTTAAGATATTAAAAATAAATGTATACAGCCTGATTGTCCTTAACATGAATATTATTATTGGCATCATAATTGTTTGAGGGAGGCCCTACAAAACATAAATGAATCTTCTAATTTAGTATTGATAGGTATAGTTGTAGCATGTTTAACTCATAAATTTATCATTTCAATTAGAGATACTGTTTGATAATTGAAAAGCCACATTTATATTTTTTTACTTTACACTGTATGTATTTTCAAATTTGATAATTGATTTGTTACAGAAATACATTCATTATTTAATTAGTCTGGTTTTGGTATACAAATTGGAATCATTTTTATCCCTAATAATAATTGTATCTACAACAAGTTATAACAATACACTTAATATAACATGATATTATCATTATGTAATCGCTAAACTAATGTAACAAATAAAAATAATATGTATTAATAATTATTTTATTTAAATGTGTCAACATATAACATGTTTTACAAGGTTGTGAGATTATGTTTAGATACACACAATTTATAATTTTAAGCAAAATAGTAATTGCTGTTGAATTACATCTTAATAAAATAGAATTCTGGTTGTTGGTGTCATCTGATCAATTCCTATGTCTTGTAGCATCTGAAGTCACGTGTGTCTAATTATTATTATTATATATTAAAATGTTTTGAACAAGTAAAAGCACAACTAATATTATTGAAGCAAATAATTATTGGAGTTTCACAGTATTAAAATTAATAACTATTACATATGTAATATGTATTCCTTAAATCCCGTTAAATAACTAAAGCAAAATTGAAAAATTATTTCATCCACTAATTTTTAGATTCTGATGTAGTGAAAAAGTTATTAGTTTAAACTTTTATTAAAATGTGTATTTTTCATAAAAAATACTTTTTTATTACTAAAAATAATCCTATTTTTTCATGCTTTACTTCAAAAGATACAATTTTATCTAAGTAAGTTTTCTAAAAATTTGACAGCAAATGGTTTTTACATCTGTTTTTTTATTCTTTTGTATTCTGGGTGATACTTTGGCTACAAGGAAAAAAACACAACCAGTAGACAATAATTATTTAATATTATCAGCACATTGAATTCTATGTAGAGTTTTATTGCAATGAATTATTGTTATGTTCAATTATTATATATCCTATATTTTCCCAACATAGAATGACCTACGCAGTACTCTACTTTATTTTCACAAGGCGCTTAGTGACAAAATATCTACATCTACAATCAGTGACTTGTCTGCATTTTAAAAATATTTTATAGGTAGATACTTATTAATTTTTGATTATGAGAGCAGAATCCTATTAAAGTAATTAATTTTATCTGAGTTTATGTTTTCATCTGTGTATCCTACTTGTTCCCATAATATATACAAATTATGTCCTGTCCTTATTGTAAATAAAAAATTCATCATAGTATACTATAGCTTCCATAGTCAGGTTATCCTATTAAAACACTAGTTGTTTGCCTTCCATAAATATTTACACAAATTACCTTCCTTCGTAAAAAAGATAATGAATCAGTGGTTGTCAAAATACACATCATGACCATGGCTCATATTTTAATGTGCTAAAAAGCAATGAAATAAGTATGTGAATATGTATGCAATAGAAACTTCAGAATGTGTGGTTTATATGTAGTAAATAATTATAATTAAAATCAAAATTGTTTAGTTCTATATTTGCTAGTACATATTTACCTTTTAGATTCTGAGCATATTTGAAATGTATTGTTTTTATTATGAGTGTTAACTTTTTTTCTATCTATGAGCAACTTTTCTACCAAAAATCACGCTCCCATTCATAAAATAATGAGAGCTTATTTTATTAAATTTTAGATCTAGTTGGTGCAATGGGGGTCATTTATTTGATTTTCATAATAGTTAAGAAAAACAAACAAATGTTTAAGGTGTGTGAATTTTTTTCATCAGAAATCTTGAAACAAGATTTGAAGAGTAGCAAACCTTGTTGAAAAGAATTTTTTTTTTATTAGTAACTAAAAAGGTTATTTTGATTTCCCGAACAACTTTCACAGTAATTGTGATAAACTTATAAATTAAGAACTGACAAATGTGCAATGTTAACAATTTCATTATTTCTAATGGTTTCAATTTGAATTTTTTACAAGATATCTTCAATATAAATCAAGATAATTCAAATTTGTTTTCAGAAAGAATTTTATTTAGTTGGTTTTTGATTTTCTATGCAGATTTCTTAATAATTGGAAAAAACTTATTTGTTTATTTGTAGGTATTATATAAATAAAATTGTTTGACAATTGAAAAAATAGAAATACTTAAAAATTGAACAGGAAGTTTATTATTTGTTGTAGGTACTTATTAGTAAAAAAAACAAAGTTGAGCATAATATAATATTTTTTTTTATCTGTTTTTAAACAACAAATTTTGATGAAAATCTTAAAAATAACAGCAATTCAAAACATGTATAATTGAATTTCGCTTAGAATCGTATTTAATTAGCATTGGTTCATAAATGCGTACATGTATAAATTAAATAAATATATGTATCCTATCTTCCCAACTTCTCACCTACAACAGTGGCACATTCCACTACAATATCACTTCTTTTTTTTTATTATTTTTAGGTAGAAAGTTACTCAAAATAATAAAATAATTTCTAGTAGGAAGTTGACTTTTTTTCTTTTATTATTTGTTCATTTACAATTTTTTTTTATTAGTTTATAATTACTATTTAAAATCAAAAATATGAGTTGATATTGAAATTAACCAATTTATAAGTTCAATACTTATCTGATTTTTTTTTTTAAATATTTTATTTATATTCAGAGTTTTTTTCCAGAATTATTTATTTTGAAAAACCTTATATCCTCAATATCAGTTAATGTATAATATTATCATACTGATAATAATCACTATTAATATCCCAAAAATTAGAAGTTGACATAGGTATTAAAGATATCTGTAATCCATAACTTCATTTCCTAAATCACTTACTTTCATGAGAAAGGTCATCAAGCTTTCATAGCGCTTTTATCTATATAGTTTTATACTTTTCTAGTTTCTGAATGAGGCTTAAAACATCAGGATTACTTGTACTCACATAGGTATTAAGTAAAGGATAAGGAAAGAACTCTAAAAAAAATAAAAACATTTAACTTATTAAAATACCCAATGGTCCAATTCTGTATTATATCTCATTCAGAAACTGGACAAGTATTAAAAGCTTAAAGCATGGTTCACATGATCAAATACTTGGCAGTTTTGTCAAATATTGGATTACTAGAGTGATAACAAATTGTTATCATTGTTTATCTTCATTATAGAATAGTTTACACATTTTATACAAAGGCATTATCATTTGTTGTCATTTGTATTTATTACATTTTATTATCTATACAAAATTGTAAATAAAATCAAATTAGTTCTCAATGACATGTGAGATAGTAAAACTATGTATTGCTAGTCTAAACACTGAACAGATCAAGTGGGTACCACTAAAAAGTAAAAACTGGTGGTCATGAATTAGGGGCAGGATCAGGAATTATTTGCGTTTGTGAATTTGCATTATATTTGACCAATCATCACAGAATTTTAGCTATGGATAATTTCCAAAGTTTGTCGTTCGCCAGATATTTTATTGTATGAATCGGGTTTTAAGAAATACAAATATAAGGGTATCGTTTTTTTTGAAATTATGAGTAGAGTTAGATTATGGCCAAAAGAAAAGTAGACTTGGTCACAATGTAAATACACTTCTTTGATAAGCTGAATTTTTTTAGGAGGACATCTCAGTCTGGGATTTAGATTTTTTATGTTGGGTCTATGTCGAGTTAAATAAATTACTAAGACTTATAGATTTCGGAGCAAAAGATTATGTTTTTATACTCCTTAACATTTATATCAAAAAATTATATTAAATTAACCCTTTTATTTCCTTTGTCCATTTAAATAGACATGACTTTTAATTCACTATTGTGGATCAATATTTTAATTAAGTAATTGAGTAATGAAAGGGTTATAGGTATTGAGTAATAGGTATATTTATAAATTTTATTTTACTAATAACATAATAGCATGGCAAAATAATCGTAGAGGATTATCTAGATGAAAATGCTCTTTTTAAAATTTAGTTTTTGATAATTTGTATTAATTATATTTTTAAAGAAAATAATAATTGTGGTTTGATATGTTTAATTGGGTAATGTGCACCTCAACTGAATGTGTAGTCTACTTGAATCTATACTATTTTGTGGCATGGTGGTGTCACTCTCCCCTCGCCATAGCCCTGTTACTAAATGATCATTGTGACATATTAGTGAATTTATTAAATTGTTAAACAATTTATTTCATAAAATAAAAAAAGATTAGGTCTACAAATGTGGGCTCTTTTAATCAGTGTTTACAATGATAATTATCTACTGTATTTAATTATCTTATGAGCAGTATATGTTGTTGTTTTCTAATAATGTATTATTAATTTACGAATAATTATAAACATTTAATGCAAAAGAAGTAATTATATATATATATATTATTTAAGATGAACTAATTTACAATTTTAATTAATTCTTTAACATACTCATATGTTTATTTTTAGTAAGGATATTATAAAAGTTTAAAGTACATTTGAATAGGTTTATTATATATTTTTAATGTTAACAAATGTTTAAAGGTCAATAAAAGGGTAATGTTCTAATGATATGATAGTCTTGGTATAGTTTGGTGAATTTATATTTTTACAACATTTAATTGGTTTCTTCTATATTGTAATATAAACTACTTTTAAAAATTTAGTTTTGCGTTAGTCAAAGGTAATATTTATTGTTTTTAATTTGATAATCATCTGTATTCTTATAAATCTTAAATATTTATTTGAATAATGCTTCATTTATATTGGAAGTATTAGTTGCTTTTATAAAAATAAAATATGAAGTTTATATTAATTGTATAGTTCAAAAGGTTTATTTGATAAGTAGCTGGAAAATTAAATAAGCTCATGCAGTTTTCTTTTTATTGGTTAATAAATTAGGTTTATATTCTCATTATATAATAGGTATGATTAAAAATAAATAAAAACTCATTTTTGATAGTAACTTATTGATTTTATTTTTTATCTAAAAAGTATTATAAGTTTATAAAAAAAAGTAACACAACACCATATGTTTTTATAATTTTATGTATAATATAAAGCTATAAATTTAATATTTATATGCCAACAGGAAAAACAAAAAAAAAATGTGACTGTTAAATAAAAACAACTAGTTACACAATAGTGTAAAATGAAATAATACCTCATACCTCATTACTTTTCATTAAACATTTTTTAGAACTGTCTTCATTCAGACAAATATTGGATTTTATAACATTGTTAATTGCTATATTACTTCAATTATTCAATTTAATTAATTTTTGATTTCGTTAAAAATGGCTAACATCTATAGTGTAGGAAAATCCCATTATTTATTATATATCCAGTTTAATGAAGTATATTCACGAATAAAATTGTATCTAATTTTTGTATGCTTATGATGTTTTTGTTTTATAATCGTACTTGCACATAGTAAGCAATATATTTAAGTAAAATTTCAATTTTAAAAAAAAAAATTTTTTGTGAATATAAATGTATTATTTCCTATAAGTTAAATTTTTCAACAATATCTGTTTCACGTGTTATACATGAAATATAACATATTTCCTTTTATGTAGTTGAAGAAATTTAACTTATTAGATACCTTTAGTATAGTTTTAATAACCTTGATAATTTGTCCTGATAACAAATAACCTTCTAGAATAATACAAATAAAATGTATATGTAAATACTACGTTTAACAATTATATTAATCAATAATTAGAATAGAATAATACATTTTGCAAAAAAAATGTTTTATACAAAAATATTATGCATAAAGTATAATATTATCAACTTAAAGGTTATAAATTATAATACTTGTAGGTTACGTTAATCAATAAAAAATATTATTTATAGAATATTTACCTATAAATATTATAATTTTACCGTTTTTACCTGTAATTTTTTAATGTATTAAGTTTTTTATGAATATTATAAATAATATTTCAATATCACTTGCATTCTAAATATTAGTAATTAAATAATAATGGATAAAATTATTATAATGAGTTCAACTAAAACAAAGTCAAAGTTAACAAACACTTTTATCTTTATATATAATTAAATGGTTATTACTTTCACAATATTTAACAAACTCGTAATAAATAAGGTTTTAACTGTTTTCTTAGATAATTGTCCAGTTCCATTTGGTAATAATTTTTGTGAATTGTCATATATTAATTTATAATTCCCTAAGCTATTTACAGCTCGTTAGTCTAAATTGTGAATAGTTTATAGACTTCCTTGAAATAAATGCAGACTACACTCACCAATGATACGGGTCATTGTTTACTTTTAGATTTCCCAAGTCTTAACAATTATTCCGATTCAGCTATATTTCCTAAATTTGTGCGAAATCTATTTAATATTACCCATTCTCTTCTGGTCAATTGAAAACTAGGTACGACTGACTATTCCAAGTATCTGAATAAGATTTTTATTTTCAATATTTTGATTTTTCGATCATGAATTCTACTATCTATTTTCTTTGAAATTCTATTATAATTAAATTAAACACAATGACTAATCCTGATGTTGAGCTTAAAAATAATTTGTTTTAAGAATCAAAATAATCAAAATGTATTTGAAAGCGTCAAATTAAACAGTATTTTTGTAAAATATTATCTTAAATATATCTAGTAACTTCAAATAGATACTATAAACTTTTGTTAGATAATATTTTATAAAATGATCTTTAAACGTTTTTTCACCTTTATATTTAGCTACATATTTTTTACATTAATATTGATTTAAATATTATAATTAGTTATATATGGCTCAAATTGTCTACATTTGTCTGTCCAGTATCAGACAAATGGAGTCAATGAGATAATTTAATTTGTTTTCAATAATATTAATTAGTATTAATATTATGATTTTAGTATGGAAGGGAAAACCTAGAAAAACAATCAAAAAATAAAATTAAAAGAATTGAAGAAACTGATAGTGAAGAAACAGATGATGTTGATGAACTTGATTTGGTGACTGAAATTGGTATTAATTCATCTGGTGAATTTCCAACATCTCCGATACCAGTAGAGACAAATGGATCTCTCACTCGGAGTAATTCAGCTCATAGTTTATCTAATGGATATATTGACAAAAAAATACAAAATGGAGCGCCGCCATTAATAAGTAGACAAGATTTAATATTAGTTCCAGATCCAGATCAAAATTATAGTGGCAATAATAATATTAAAACTGAAGGAGTGAGTTAAAAAATTAAAAAAAAAAAACTTTTACTGTTATTATAATTTTACTTTGTATACTAAATATTACTTCCATGATATTAATGACTATATACAGGATGATTCACTAAGCATGTTCACCTCATTTTTTTAGTCTCACATTTATTCAAATTCTGATTTTTGGAATTTATAAGTGTAGTCGATATTTTCAAATAATTGGATTTTTTATAACATTTAAGGGGTATCCTGTGGCAATATCAACATTGGTTTTTCAAATAAGAATTCATTTTAAAAATTCTATAAATAAATGGAGTATTAGTTAATCAATTTTGCTGTTGAAATTTTTGATTTCCAACTATCTGTTAATGAAGTATTCTACTTTTAAGTTTAATCATGGGGACACGTGCTGTTTCACTACATACATGATACTTTACTATTTTGCCTTACCTAATGTAGTTTAATAGTAAAGATTTTTGTACAAAAAATTAAATATACTTATATATAACAGCTATAAAGATAAAAAAGTAGAACATTTATTTAGACACATATTTTTAAGACTGAGACAAATTTACTATATACCATAGGCATATGGAATTATATAATTCCTTATTAATTTTATTGACATATTTCTTTACAAAATAATTATAGGGTAAACAAATATTACAAAGAACACGTTCATTCAACACATTAAAACGTGAGTTTGAACTTGCTGATGTACTTGATTATGTAAAAACTGGTGTTGAAGCTATAATAGAAGATCAGGTTACTTCAAGATTTGAAGCCGAAGAACTAAAGGTAGTGAAGTTTATTGTAAATAATGTATTAAAATTATTTTGTTTATTTTATGAAAATTATTTTATTTTAATTTTTTTTTTAAATCAAATTTAAGCTTTTTTAAAAATGTATGTATTACTATTTAGTCATGGAACTTGTTGACGAGGACTAATAGACATTATGAGTTTATCAATTGGAAAATAACTGTCATTTGGATTATTGGATTTATTGTAAGATATACATTTTTATTGCCATTGCGTGTGTTGATTTGTTTTTTTGGAGTAAGTTTTTTTTTAAATTAATTAATCTTTACTCTAAAGAATGCCAGTATTACTTGTTTATTGATTTAATTATACTTTCACATTTCATTATTGGTTCTAAATAGTTTAAAGAAGTATGTGTTGAAAAACTAGACTAGTTCTTTTACGTAGCAAACCTTTCATGCTGAACTTGTGTTTTTTTCTTTTTTTACTATTTATCTTAACATATTGATGGATCCATCAATTGGACATTTTATTTTATTTTTCAAAATTGTCCAATAAATATCAGTTTCATTATTGCTATAACTTTTGACAAAATAAAATGAAAAATATGTGTGTAAACAAGTTAAAAAATAGTGTACATTGGTCTTTTGAAATGAATTGGGTCAGAACAACATATTCTTTTGTTTGATATTGAAAATATCACTGCTTTAGCAGTGATATTTATATGTAAAACTCCTCACATCAAATTGCAACATTATTGCTATAGCAGTTTTATTAGTCTACTGTCCATCAACGTGTTAAATAAGTTAGTAAATGATGTTAAATATTATTAATAAGGAAGGTATATAACAATTTAATATTTTTATAACACTGATTAGATTATTTTGTAATTTGAATGAAATTTAAACTAAATTTAAAAATAAGTAATATTGGAAATTATTATGTTATTTAATACAAAATTGTAATATTAATAACATTTGTAGGAATATTTTTTTATTTCTTAAAATATTCAATCTACAGGTTATGTTATTTAGTTTAAGAATGTGTATTATTTGGTTGACCGTAAAAGATAAATTAATACAGAAGTCTTTGATAAATGATATTTCTCGCTACATTTTTGTATTATTTCAATATGCGATGACAATGGTAATAAATGTTCATAACCCACAATGGATTCCAAGACATAATGGAATCTGTGTGGCGAACCATACATCACCAATTGATATTCCCATTCTATTTGCTCACAATTATTATATTTTGGTAATTAGTCAAGTATAATGTTTTACCTATTTGACAAAATAACTTCTAAATTGATTAAAGGTTAATATTTTAAATTATTCTGCACAGCACAATACAAATTCATTCATCAAAAACAAAAAGTCAAAAGGGAATCAGCCTCAATTTATAATGCCATTTTTATCTATTAGAAGCATTCTGTTTTAATAATTTTTTTTAGACTATTATTACATCACTTTTTCAATATTAAAGGTACAATTAAATGTTTTACTGAATGGTAGGTGGGGAAACAATACAAGTGCTATGTGATTAAAATGAGTCATTGAGGGTAAAAAGGAAATTGATATAATATTTTTAAGGCAAATATAAAGGTCTTTATAAATTGATTGGATAAAAAGTATAAAATAAAAAGGGAAGTAGCAGAAATGCAAATGTTATTGCTGATGAAACTATATGTTGGATACGATCAGGAATAAACATATAATAGACTGTCTAGGAGTAATGTGTATTGTAGAACAGTTATAATAGAATAGATGAAAAACTATGAGATAATCAAGAATAAAGATGAGATAAGTGTTATCGGAAAAAGTAGACTAAAGAAAAAATGTCTAGAGGTTATAAGAGATATGTAAGGGAATGTGTAGTAAATGAAGAAATGATGATATACAAGAATAAATGTGTAGAGTGGTAGCTATCTCTGGAATAACTGAAGAAAACAAGAACATTTGTATGGTCTGTGTGTATTAAATATGATTCACTATTTTAAACAACAAAATTGTTTAACTAAAATTATATATTTTTTTTTTCAATAGTTTAAAAATACCTTTAGCTAATGCCCTTTTGACATACCAGACCACTACAAGTACACTATAAGTTACTGTTGATTTAACTTCCATGTTATTTATTTAACTAAGTGCATGTATAAATATAATACAAATTAAACAATGGTTTCATGGTAAAATATTATTTTTTAAAAATTCATAACTAAAAACTATTTATATCTAATTTAACAGTTTTGAGTTGAACTATATTTCATTTTGTATCCTGTACAAATCGTTTTTGTGTATTAAATAGTTAGGTATAAATTAAAAAATTTGTTAATTTTACAAATTTCGAGTCTAGTTAATATGTATTTATCTTGTCTAGTATTAACAAATTTAAATGCTCAAAGACTTGTATTAATTTTTATCACAGATTTCCTATATTTTTACTTTTTAGTTAAGTTTAAAGTTACAAACTTAAATAAACAGAATTAAATTTCAAATGTTATGAATGATTTCCATTTTCATTTAAAACAGCAAAACAAATTGTAACTATTTATATTAAATATTATTAATTCAAATCTTAATAACATAGTATAATAGTATTAAGTATATCCATCAACATTTTAAAAATGTATAGGTATTCAAATAACAAATGTAAACCATGCAAAATCTAAGTAGACCACTTTGTTATCACGATTACAGTTTTACATGTACAGATAGGTTAGTGTTATGGTGACCTCAAACTTAAGAGTACCAATTGCATTATCTTATTTATTATCTGCAAGAGGTCTCCAGAACTATAAGGTTTTTTTTAATGTAGTGTGTACCAAATTAGAGATAAATGTATACATTTAACTATTTATATAAATCAATGGTCATTTGTTTATTACTACCATTCATAAATTTATAAATTATTATATTATTTATTTATAAATATATGAATTCTTCAATTTTATCATTCTTTTATGTACACATTTCTCAAGAGCCTGATTTTTAAATATACTCTATTATGAGTCTATATTATTCTCTTTTATATTTCAACAATGTGTATTATACTAATATACATTGTTATAATAAAAACTGTATGAATATATTTTTGTAGAACAAAATAATATGATATTTAAGGAAATATGATTACACTCATAAAGATATTTAATTTTAAAAATAACTAATCAAGTTATAGTAAATGTTTTTAATTGTAATTTACCTCATTTATATTTATTATTAAAATAATGAATTAAATGATAAATAATATTTAATTTTTAAATGAAATTAATGTACAAAAATTAAAGATAAATGTAATTTTCTTTATTTATATACAGATAAACTGAAGGAAATCTGGTTTTTTTCCTATGATATCGCATAGTTAATTATTATGAAATATCAGAAATCTAATTTCTTTTCAAATTTTTCAATACAATTTTTGTTATTGCAATATGATATCATAAATGTTTTATGTGAATAGGTTATGTGGCTGTGGACATGTACATTAATAGTTGGTTTTGTACCTGATAGTTTTGGTAAACGTTGGCTCAACCAAAATGTATCCATTATGTGTTTTCAAGTTTTATCTGCTTCACTATCTTCAGTCATCACTTACCATAATCGTGAAAACTTACCTGAGCGAGGCATTTGTGTTGCCAATCATACATCTCCTATTGATGTACTAGTATTGGCATGCGATAATCCTTATGCTCTGGTATGACACAAAATGCACTATCATTATCATCATAATGCAAAAACTAAAAAAAAAAAATAGTTTATCCAAAACTAGATTAATTAAGAAACACCTTTTAAAAACATTACACATTCTATTATATAATTATACATTTAATAATCCCCCTCTTCTTTAAATATATTTCAAGCTAATATACTAACTCAATTAAGGTTGTCTATACAAATATGTTAAAACCAAATTTATTATTAATTTTCTATTTCAATTTTCTACACACATTTTTAATTTATTAGCATGTATTTTGGATAAACTATGATAATCATCTTTTTTAAACGTAAGTAGTATTAATTAATTAATTATTTTATATTTGTATTAGATTGGTCAGCGACATGGTGGATTTTTAGGAATCCTCCAAAGAGCATTAGCTAGAGCTTCTCCTCATTTATGGTTTGAACGATCTGAAGCCAAAGACAGAGAAATTGTTGCAATGAGGTAATTATATATTTAATTATTATTGTTAGGTTAAAATTTAAACACTCGAATATTAACTGAGATAAATGTGTATCTTAGAAAAATCTTCTTATAATTATTTTATTAAGTATTTTAATATAGTTCTGGGTTAAAATGTCAAATTAACATTTGAACTTGAAGAAAAACAGGAAATTGTAAAATTAAGTATACTTTATGAACTATTACTTATTACAAAGTATACTATTTTATTCATATGTGTATAGCTAATTATAATTAAATCACATTTTATATTTTCAGGCTTAGGGAACATGTATCAAATCCAAAGAACCCTCCAATACTCGTATTTCCGGAAGGAACATGTATCAACAACACATCAGTTATGCAATTTAAAAAGGGAAGTTTTGAAGTTGGCAGTGTCATTTATCCTGTTGCTATTAAGGTTAATTAATAATTGAAATTCAAATATAAGCAATAATAAATTGAAATTGCAATGGTTATGCTGTTTTAGTATGATCCAAGGTTTGGAGACGCGTTTTGGAATAGTAGTAAATATTCAATGTTACAACACTTATATTTAATGATGACTTCTTGGGCAATTGTTTGTGATGTATGGTACTTACCTCCAATGTACCAAAATGAAAATGAATCTGGTGCTGACTTTGCAAATAGAGTAAAACGAGTGATCGCAGATCAAGGTGGTCTTGTAGATCTAGTATGGTGAGATAAATTATATTGTATAGGAATAGTATAATTTAATTTTTTTTTTTAAGTATTTATGGGTAAATTAATTATCTATGTATTAAGAAAACAGTTTTGTCTTACTTTAATTATTGTAAGTATTCTTAGTTTTTAAGTTAATATTGTACAAAATGTACTATAGATTTGAAGTACTAACATACTATTTTCTTTTTAATGGTTTTCATAATACTCACAATTAGAAAGTGGATTTGTATTCTCATATGATCCACAAAAAGGCACTTTAAAACGTCATAAACTGCCTGAAAAACAGCAGTTACAAAATTTTAAAAAAAAGCAAAAATGATCCCTTTAAATGGATTTTACTTATAAAATAACATTTTCTAACACCACACAAATTTATTTATTTTGCATAAGACAACCACACAAATGATTAATAAAAAGTAATTCTTTTTAATAATACGTACAATTTTATTTAAAAGAAATTATTCTGTGTGAATAATTTTAGTAGTGTTAGGAAATTAAATTTAATAAGTTAAATCCTCTTAAAGAGGGACTTTTGAACTCCTCTATCATTTTTGCTTTTTTAAATATTTGTGAGTACTTTCAGGGATTTTTTGATGTTTAAAAACATCTTTTCGTGGATTATAAGAGAATATAAATCCGCTCTTTACTCATAATGTTTCCACTTTATTATTGTGGCTCATGTTTAGCTTTATACAAGCCAACAAATTTATGTTCATTCAGCAGAGTAGCCTTTAGGAAAAATTGTATTTTTTGGCTTATTAGGCAAGAACACAACAAAACCAGTACTACCAAAAAACCTCGTCATACATTTCATTAAACTGTATGTATGTTGTTCTCCAAAGAAAATAATTCCGGTTTGCTTTCAAAAAGTATACTTATAACAAATATGTAACATTCTTAGATTCCGAGAAGCAGGAAAAAATGGTTTTTTTTTTTTATAATGTTTACTAATTTGTATACTCTTGTTATGCCTAACTTATAAATATCATAATACAGAGTGATTTTTTTTTTATCATGAACTAACAATTATCGCTGAGGATTTTAAGTGAAGTTGATTTCTGTTTTTTTTTTTTTTAATTATAATGAAATCATTTAAGTTTTATTTTAAAATTTATTCATTTAAAATTATTATTCTTACTCCATTACCTTAACTAAGTTTATGCTTGTTTTTCGAATAGGAACCCTCTTTTTGAACATAAATTCGAATAGAGTATATTTTTCTAGAAATGTTGATATGCATAACACTAACATCAGATTTATATTTATGAGATAACCGTTTAGTTTAGACCGAAAGATAAGGAAAATATTATTAATGTATTATTTAAAAATAGATATGTGATTTACGACCCTATCATTGTTCCTATTTGATAAACCAAATTATATACTTATTTAAGTGTATAAAGTAGGGCTAAATATTAAAAAGTTTTAAAATAAAGTTTAACTGATAAATAATTAGAAAATAAAAAAACGGGAATCAAATTCATTTAAAATCTCCGAGAAAATTATTGATTTATGATTAAAAAAAAATTCACTATGTGTCACATTTTGATTTTAGTTTATAGAAGATAATTTTAAAAGCTCTGTGTTTAAGTAATAATATGATCTTAAACATATTTACAACATATAGTTAAAAATAGTTAAATGAAAAAATGAGTTATATTGAAACATATTAATATTTTTTTGTAGGGATGGTCAACTGAAACGTTATAAACCAAAAAAAGAATGGAAAGAAAGACAACAGGAAGAATTCAGTAAACGACTTAAAGTTGAATAGCACAAATTCATATCATTTTTGTTTAATACATATTGGTCAGATACAACGAAGATCGGGATTGCTTAAACATATGTTATGACAAAAATGTAATAACCAATCCACATGAACAAAACCTAGTCGTATATTTAATCACCAAATTTTATTTAAAATATATTATTTAGATTTAAATAATTAGATATTAACTAAATGATGGAATATTTTTGTGAACCACAAAATTAATTTTGGTGGCAGTTGTTAAATGTGGATTATGCCTGTGATCTAAAGTCTTTGAGTAAGATTTATTATTATTATTATTATTAAAAATGTTTAAAATTTGGACGTTATTTATATTTCAATGTTAATTATTCTTGTAGCTTCCATTTTTATTTCCAATTGCAGTGTTTGTGTAATATCTCTATAAAATATCCAACTTACATTTTTATAGATATTTATTTTATTACATGAATAGTTTAGTCAGTTCCTTATTAGTTTGTCCTTATCATGATTATCTTATTTATAATTATAGTCCTTATAAATCATAAAATTATCTAAAGAAATCAGTGAGAAAGAAAGTGCCGCGTTAATTTTTATTTTTATTAATTTTAATAGTTACATATTTGTTACAATTGTGTATGCTGTTTTTTACTTTTCATTATGATTTTCCTGAAATCTGAAATATTATATTTGTTTTGTAGATAACATTTTTTTTTTTAAATCCACCTCAAAATTACACTTACAGATAATAAATATATAAAAAGAATTTTAGTATTTATATTTTATACGTCCATATGTTTACCATTTTATTTTAAGGTTCATTTTGGTTATGATAGTACTTAATAATAATACAATTCTGTAATAATTTTCTTACTTGATTTGGTTAGTTAATTTGAGCATATTTATCAATATAATTTTTTTTTATTTTTATTATTTATCTTTTTTTTTTATGGAAATTGGGTTGTTAAAAAGTTAAGACTATATAAAATAAATATTAATTCTGTATGTGTCAAATGTAATTTAACTTACAAAATTAAGTAATACATCTATATTTATTAACAATTACTATATGTTATGATTACTCAGAGGGTTTCAATAATAATTAACATATTCATTGATTACCTGTAATAGTGTTCCAGTTAGAATTATTTCCAAATTATAAAAGATTTTTAATAATATATATATAATATAAAATATTGATAGTTTAAATGAGTGTGTAACTAAATTATTTCACTACATACATTTAAAGTAAAATAGTTACGTTTAAGAAATTATTAATTTTTAATGTTTTTATTTTTTTATATATATAAAATTAAATGTGTATAGTGAGTAATAATTACGATTATGTGTACAATTTATTTACCACTTGACACTACAGAATTATTTCATTGAGACTGGTTCTTAAAAGAAATATTTGTTTTATTAAAGGCAATAATAAATATTTTGTGTATGCATAAAATTATAAAATGTACAGTATAGCAAATTGATTGCACCAACCATTATAAAATAATATATTTTGTTGCCAATAAATTATGTTAATAAAACATCTTATTTGTATATATTATTGTAATATAAATTAATTTCAAAGATTTTTTAATAATGATGGTTTTTTCTTTTTGACATTAATTGACTCTCGATTAATTTCTATTTGAGTTGAACTTGAAGTTTGGTCTACATATTTTTTCTTTTTGGAAATTTCTTTGTTTTCTTCTACCTTATTGACAGGTTTGTTATTTAATAGTTCACGTACATTAAGACATCTTAAAATTAAAATATATTAGACTTCACATAAAAAAATTACTCTAATTTCATTACCTATGTTCGAAAGGTTCAAGGAGAGGAGATGAATATAACTCGAACAAACTGGGGCTGTCATCACTTAAATCTGTATGTTTTTGAAATGTGTTTATTAAAAATTTATCTTTATCAAAAGTTTCAGTCTGAATATTTCCTATACAAAAAAAATATACATATATTCTAATTTGATATTATAGTAAACATATTGTAGTCATGTAAAAGTGACTTAATAATTTTAAATTTAAATTTTGATTTTAATCAAGAACTATGCACTAAGTGATTCTCAAACTATTTATTACATCACTTGGATACTTTTTTCCTAAACATATAGGGATGAAATAATTCATTCAAACATGTTTTTGAACCTTGGTCACTTTTTGTATGACGACAACATACAAATTTTAATAACAGTAAAAATTCAAAAATTATACACTAACTATTTATGTTTCCTCCTTCTAAAACATATTCAGAAATTTCTAAATCTTTTTTTTTAAGAAGTTCAAATAAATCTTCTTGATTTTTTTTCAATACTTGTATTATTTGTAACAAAGGACATGTCAAATTACTATAAAACTATAATCAGAAATATTAATTATAAAACAGTGTGCATAAAAATTAATTACATATAATATCTTAAAGCAATTTCAAAAGTTATCAAATTCCTCATTTTGTCCCCGATTTGTTTTAAAAATATTTTTGATTAGCAGTGTAAAATAAAAGCAACAAATATAAATACACTAATTATTTTGAACAAAAACATACGGATTTTAAATAATATAAGTATTCTTATATTTTAATTTAGTAAAATTCAAATTTCTAAAAAATAATTTTTATAATTATTAGTTTTTATCTTATTATAAATAAAAGGTTATACAATTTCAGAAATTAATATAATTAATTTGTTTTATAATATAAAAATATAATAGTAATCAAATCTGACTTCCCTTAAAATGATTTTGTTAAAGTAGGGTTTTATACTTAATTATTTTTAAATTTTTTCAAAAGAATCTAGTATGATATGAAAGTAAAAAATCATATTCCAATCTGGTCAAATACCTAGTTATTAGGTTAACGATGTGTAACAAATATATTATTTTTTCTCAATTTATATAACAATGTTATCAATACTCACATAATTAGGATCCTTAAAATCCAATTTCAATTTTAATATTAATGGTGAAAAACCCTCTGTTAGTTTGACTATTATATGTGCCCTTAAATTCAAATTTTCAGGGAAAAAATTAAATTCTATATTTTTTGTTTCTTTCAGTAACAAATCCACAACATCAGTTGATTCTACTTCGACTATATCATTTGTTGTCTAAAAATATAAAACACAAATTATATACATTTTAGTATGAACCAAAACAGTTTGTAAACATATCGACTAACAAATAATTAAATGACTTATGAACATACTAGAGATATTTATTTTTTTCTAAATGATTATATTTTTACAATTTGTTAGAAGGATAAAGATAAAATGGCTGGTTGTCTAGTTTTAGAGTTAATGAAATGAAAAAAAGGGTTTTAAAAAATCTGGTATCTTACTTAATATATTTTGATGTACAATTCTTTTCAGTTGAAAAATATACACAGTATGTTTAAAATATACTCACTGAATATAAGGAGGCAATTGAAGTTTTATATATTTCTTTGCTGTACAATTTTTTCATATTGGTAAAATTGAAAATACATAAATCATCTTTTTGAAGGAATTGAAAAAACATTAATGAGTTTTCATATTGTTTCTTGGTTGAGACCCACATTATTAACTTAAATTGAAAATAAATGTTAACGGTATTTTACTTTATTAATAAGAATATAAACCTATACAATAGTCGACTAATATTTAATATTTGAATATTATACAATTTTCTTTCCTGTTTTAAATTATTAGATATAGTAACATTGTGTGTAGTTAATAAGCCTCTTAGACTAAGGTACTAGTTCCAATTTCCAAATTTCAAAATATGTAATACCTAGTGCCTACGAAAAATAAAAATTTTGTATAAGATTTGATAAGAATTTAAAAATTCGATAAGAATGCCCAGTGGTTCCCAAATTTATAAATAATGTTGGCTATTTAACTTCTGAAATTGTATTGGAACAAGTTTAGTAAGAAGCTTAAATCATATTATATTATTGTATAATCTAAAGTAAGAAGCCTACCCAACAAGAATGAAGGAAAAAAGTTCCCAGAAAAATAAACCAATTTATTTATTATATTATAATTAGTTACATTAACTGCATTAAATATATTATTAATTCTGTAATAATAGCAATAGAATTGTATACTTTTATAATAGCAATGAATGTATTATTATTATTGTTTACTGATGTCTTATATAAAACAATTTTTTAATATTGATTAATATTGATTATATAACGTGTATATTTTTATTTTTACTAAAAACTTTATTCCACTTATTTTTAAATTCAGTAACTTTTCTGGTGAGAAAATTAATGGTTGGTCGGGGAAAAACAAAAGAAATAAATAAAAGTATACATTGTCTTTTTTTTCCTTGATTTTTTTCCATGCCTTTTTTTTCTGATTATCACTCAACACATACAAATTTTTAAAATTCTATTGCCAACGTTCAATTTTGAACCTATATTGCCTATCCAGGTCCTGAAATCATTCAACTTTTCTGTTTATTGTTTACCTATCTAACTTTCGAAATTCTATTGCTACCTATTGTCTAAAAAAATATTTCTGTAGGTACCAAACAGTAATTTAATAAATATCTTCACATTCCGGACCAATAAAGTTTTTAATTTTTAAATTCCGGAGAAATACATTCCGAAATTATACGTTCCGGTTCCGGATTTATGTAGTCCTTCTATATTATGTGTTATGTTAGGTTCACTGTTTTAACATTTGCGGTCTTAAACCAGAGATAATATTCAATTTAACCTTTGGAAACCGATAAAATGGCTACATGTCCACATTTGACATAATGTAAATTACGAAAATTAAATTTAAGCCTGTTTCATACTATATTAGTAATTATGTTATTTATATCATGTACTAGCTACTTTTAAATGTTGCGTGTAATCCAGTGTACTAGAACTTGTACTATATTCTATTCACACCAAAATCGTATGATACACTATAAAAGGTATTATATAGAAACTAACAGCAAATCTAAGAACCATGGTCTTGATTAATCTGTAATGTATGCTGTAGTAGCTGTATAGTATAGTAATAAATAGTAATAAGCATTAGTTTATTTATTTAATTTAATTATGAATTTTTGACAAAAAACATTAGTCATTCTTGCACTAGCATCATTATCGGGCACAATATAATTTTAGTTAACAGATTCTTGAATATATATATACATGGGTAAAAAGTGGATAAAACGTTGAGAATAAGACCTTGGTTTTTTTTTTAGTAAGCTACAAAATGAATTATTATAAGTTTTTAAAACCATATTTTAATCTGTATAATTATAGTCAGCTCAACGATACATGAATTTACGCGGGAATGTTAAACCAGAGTTAATCAAAATCATGGTTTAAGATACAAACCATTATCAAAATACATGTATTTCATGTTTGTACATTGTACATTTAAAAATTCAAAATTCGAAAACTTTGGAGTTTGTTAAGATTGGCATTATAATCTTTATATAATCTAAATTTTTTAATACTTTTTTCTCCCGTGATTTCGAGAAAACCGTAAAAAATTATAATTATGTTATCAAATACAGTGAGTTTTATTTATACCATAGATACCATGAACTGAGATAATCTTAGTTTATTGTTTATATCTGTTACCGTAAAAAATAAGATAAACAAGTTTACCGGGTTTACTGACTGCAATTGACATGAGTCTTTTATCTTTATAGTTTATTCTATCCTTCACATTAACTGCCTTTTCCAGAATTTTCAGCAAGTTTTGACTTCATACGTGAATACCATATACAAGAAGACTGTAGTCTATAGTCCGGTGCAGACTCTAGAAATTTTCCACTAGAAGTATATAAGTATATTAAATTATTTTAATTTTAATGTATATTACATTTTTACACATTTAAATGTTTTCCAATGTTATGTGTAAATTATTTGGATGTATATAAATATACAAACCCAAACATGAAATATTGTGCTGAATTAATCCTAAAAACAGTAAAAACTAATCTGGAATGTCTCAAGAATAAGGTTGCTGAAAAATGTTATATTCTTATTTCAAACAGTTAATGGAGGTAAAACAATGAAACAAACAAACTTTATAAGTATTTAATATTTAATGTAACGAAATTAAGTGTTTTTTGTATGATATTTAGCCAAATCTAGAACTGAATTTTTTATCATTGGCAGTCTTGGGGCACGACACCATACGAGAGTTAAAACAAGTTTTTGAAATTTGTCTACCTAAATGGGTTCTCTCACTTGAATTTTAGACTAAACACGAAAATTGAAATTTTTGTTTACTGTGAATCCTTTTTGACCAAAAATTTATTATAATTACACCTTAGCTGTAATTGAATTGTATATTGTTAATTTAGTTTAACTAAGTATACAATTGATAATCATGTTTATTTCATCATTATTTAAATGCTGTATATTTATGTTTGTCTTGTATAGTTGTATTTCAATTTAATTTGTTTTATTATTTAATTAGAAACACCAAAAACAAATATCATCATGGCTACTATGCCAGTAAATCCTAAACCATACCTTAATGGTCTTATGGGAAAAACTATTATTGCTAAACTTAAATGGGGTCATGAGTACAAAGGATTTTTGGTGTCTACCGACAATTATATGAACATACAATTGGCTAGTGCTACAGAATTCGTTGAGGGTAATGAACCAACTTTATTGGGAGAAATCATGATTAGGTAAGTTAATAAAATACTCAAATTACCTACTATTAGTTTTATTTTTTATTCCTTCTGGATATTTCGGATTTGTGACTTTAGTCTTCAAACTTTGTCATATGTGTATCATTTACATACACATTTACTGATTATGTCCTTATATATCTGTCAATATTATGTAAAATTTCTCTCATTTTACATTGTATTGGCTTAAGTTTTTTATTATATTTAACAATTATTAATATAAAATTGTGATTATTTTTTTATTTCATAATAAAAAGAAATATAATATTATTTTCTATTTTATTTAGTTAATTCCGGACAGTATTCATAATTTAAGTACATTTTTTAAAAATGTCTTATTCTAGGTGTAATAATGTCCTTTACATCAGATCAGTTGATGATGAAAATGAAGTTGATGATTCAGAGATGAAAGATTAAATAATTAGTATATCATATTTCAACATTATTATTTTGTGCATAATTTAATATAAATAAAACAAATAATATTATAATAATTATTTTATATTTTGGTTTATAAAGATCTCATTATTTTACCATTCATTTTTTATGCACATAACAAGTAGGATATTCAATATGACATCTTAAATGAGTACTAATCTCGTATGTGATTTAGAATTATTTTAACAACCTAAATTTTGCTCATTGGTCTCTTAGCAATCTATTGATAGTAAATTAAAAGATAGGATTTGTAATTATTGAAATAAATTTTATTAAATATTTATGGAAATGAATTATACACGAAATATTATTAAAATAAAATTTTTTAAAAGAAGAATATACTTTGCCCGATGAATGAGCCACTGTTGTAGGTGAGAAGTTGGGAGGTAAAGGGGAAATGCAAACAATTGTATCTGTATGCAACAATTAACCATTCCTAGAGAAAAATAATTCCGACATTTTCTCATTTTCCTATGTTTTTTCCCATTTATTATGAAAATTTATGGAAAATAAAAAATAATAATTTTCTTAAAGTACCATCACAATCATCAAGCAATACTACAATATGGACTGATAATTTTGGGGGGGGACTTTCAGTTAATGATTTGAAACCACTATTAATGTATAAAAGAAAAATAGTTTGTTTATGTTTATAAAAATTACTTTTGAATGGTGACCAGATTATCAAAAAGAAAAGCTGGGAAAAATAAAATATATTTCATAAAGAAAATATTATTTTGAATAAAACAAATATATAATTTAGATAGGTATTTTAATTTATAATATGAATTATGTAATTTTATGATATATAATATTTTTAAATTTATTGTTAATCATATTTGGAATTTAATTTTACAAGTTTTAATAGTTCATTTTGGTTTAAAACAAAATTATAAAATTCTGAACAACTAATTTTAAAATTAGTTTGAACATGTAAAATTGCTTTAATTGTTTCTATTTTCATTAGATTCTTTTCATCTCTCCGCGGAATATTCATATGGGAAAATATTATTTCTACGTTTGCATTAAGTAGTTCTTGTATAGTTTTATACCTCTTTCATAATTATAGGTGAAGGGGTTTTTCATATGTTTTCATATTTTTTTAATAATAAAAAGTTGTCTAAATCTCATTGTAGTGAGGGTTCAGTCACTGGACAGCCTCCCTCTTCATACTAAATCATCATGTAAATATTTCCTGTAATTATCCTATTTTTTTATTGTACATATGTTACAGATTGTAAATTTTCTGTTTTAAATAAATAAATAAAAAATCTCATTGTATTACCATAAACCCATGGGCTCTGTACTAATGAATCCCATAACTACTGTTTGGATTCGGATCTTTGTTTGCATCATCTTCAGAATTATTTGCCCAGCTCTGTATAATGATATTTAAACTGGCAGTAATATTATGAAGTTTGATAATATAATTGTTTAATAATGTAATACATTTTTGCTGTGAAAAATTTAAGAATAAATGTTAGCACACATACAAGACCAGTAAACTGCATGCAGATGACATACCAGACCTATATTTTAAAAATACAAGTCTGAATTTATATAAAAGTTTTAAAAAGTTTTCACCGTGGATTATTTTTTTTTTGTAACGCCGTTCTCTATTCTGATATTTGATATAATACTTTCTTAAAAACTGATACAAGTACTTAAATAGTTTAATTAATTTTGAATTATTATAGGTACTACCATACTGATTAAAACTCAAATATATAACCTACTTACTGACAAATTATTGATGTATTTAAAATTGAAATAAAATAGAGAGGACAAATCATATTAATATAACTAATAATAATAATAAAAAAAAAAAAAAACATTAATTTATCATAACTTTTAATATTTACCAATATTATAATAAATAAATAATTGCAGTTTCAGTAGTTTATTGCATCCTTTAAAAAATTTACAAAAATCTTAAATTTAAAAATAAAAACTTAAAATAAATTATTTGTGTATTTATTATATGCTCTCTGTGCCATACAGTAGTATAATTATAATATTTATTGATATTCAATTTAAACAAAATTATAAGAATATATTTTGGTTTTGTAGGTTAGAAGCATAACAGCATTAATAATAATTATTAATATAAAATAATAAAGCAAATACTAAATTATTAGAATGGTTAATACCTGTAAATATAGTAGATCAATTAATGGGCAGTACAAATTTGGGTATACTAATTTTAAAATAAAATATAAAGAACACATTTCTGAAATGAAATTTAATAAGACTGCTCCCAATTCGAATTTCGCTAAACGCGTTTTAGAAAATAACCATAACATAACCTTTGATATTAATACAGACTGAGATATACAGCCGATTGGAAACGCCCAAAATAACATTCACGTTAATTCATCAGTTTTTAGAAGAATTACACATGTACAATGAAATAAATAACAATAATTATTTTAATATTATTTTCAATGTACAAAATCTATTATAAAAATACCCAATATCTAATATCAATACATTTTAGACAATAAATAATAACCAAATAATCTATATTTCCCAACATACCTATGTTTAATAATAACCAATTTTAAATAATCTCTCCTATCGAAATAAATTATTTCCACGTGGAACGACCGCTTTATATAATTTTTTTTTTTTTCCATTTTATTCCTTCGTTTAATTTTTCGTATCCAGGCGCGTTTTACGTTTTGACTGTGATTATACACCTGACGATAAATTTTAAATTCCAAACCCGTCGTTCAATACACTTATCGGTAACACTCTGGGCGACGCGTTCATTCGTTTATTTAAATTTCGTTGTTATTGTTTATTTATATATTTATTTACCGTGATAATTATTGATAAACAGTGGAACAGTGGGATTATTTTATACAGTGCGACGGAGACCCGTACTGAACAATAGTGATGAATTGGTAGAAACGATACGGACGTGCAACACGTAGCTAGGTATGAATAGGTTTTTGTCGTTTTTCCATTCAATTTGTTCACGCGTCTGTAATAATTTTGTTAAAACACTTGTCACTTCGAAATGGATATTCCCCGAATTTAGTTTCGCTCATATTTATATAGGTAGGTATATATCTACTTATTACAGACAGCGGTATGAATCTAGTTTACTGCCCAAACTCGTTTTTAAAACTTATCATTTTTTTTTTTTTTCTGTATATGTGTGTGTGTGTTTACACTTGTACGGCACATTAGGCACAAAACCTGAACTTCATGAAGTTTTCCCTCGTAATTTTCAAATGAAATTCGTCCGNAAGTTCTTTATTGAAGTCCGAATAAGTACTTGGCTTAGTTTCAGAGTTACAAATGTTCAAACGCGCCGTGTATTTCTGCATTCAGTCCGACAATTTTAATCGGACATTTGTAACTCTGAAACTAAGCCAGATAGACTTATCCGACTTCAATAAAGAGCTTTTTTTATCAATTATCAATAACTACAAATAATAATAATAATAATATTAAACAAATATGTCTATATTTGACCACATTTACGATTAATTCCAAAAATGCTATTTCTGAAGGTTTATATACAAAAACTATAAAAGTAAGTATGCTACTTAAGTTTTGTTTGTACCTATGGATTAAGCATTTAAGAATATACATTTTGGTAAAAAAAAAAAAATGTTCTAATTAAAAAATACACGAAACGGAAAACCTGAACTTCATGAAGTTTTCCCTCGTAATTTTCAAATGAAATTCGTCCGACCTTTTTTTTTTTTTTATATTTTTAATGTACCGTAAAGGTAAAAACACAAATTGTGAAAAACAATCTTGGGCCGCAAACTAGATTAATTGTCATTAACGATATACAGCAGTATAATTACAGGAATTGAATAGGCAACGTTATATACAAATTTGGGAACTAGTGGGAACATCCTTAAAAAAGAACATTTAACGTTTTATTTTAATAATCCATATATTATCTTAACGGGCTTAAAGATCTAAATATCTAGGCGTAAATAATTTTTATCTTGTTACTTTTTATCAATATATTTTTGATAACAGGACGTCTACGTCCAAACGTTCACACATGCAAAACACTTGTTGGTTTTTGGAACTAAACCGCACAAACATAATATGTCTATAATACGTATTTTTTATATTATTCATAAGTATAATCAAATTAACGAAATACTAAACGTATTTATTCAGTTCAGTGATTATGGTATAATCATAGATAATATATGACCATAAGATCTATGGGTATAAAATGGCATATTATCTTGACATAGTACTTCCATTGATTAAGTATTTATATTATTTTAGGGACAAACACATTTTACTACTATATCTATGATAAAGTCTGGCAACTCCTTATCAGAGTTCCACTTCTGTGGTTTTGATATTGATAAACTTAAAAAAAAAAAAATCATTACAAATTAAAAAGTTACATTGCATACAATTTGTTGTGAATTTTATATAGTCATTTGCGTGTAAGCTATTATTTTAAGTACACAAAACTAAGTCTGTTTAATATTTAACTTAAAATGGCTTCTGAAAGACGTTTGTGGAAAATAGTACTTGATCGTTTTATCAAATCTATTAAACCCAAAATGAAAGAAAAACCAATTGGTTCCGATGCACAGGGTAATAGATATTTTGAACTTCCAGCTGACCCTCAAGGTGGTCGTCGTATGCCAAGGAGATGGTTTGTTCCAGTTGATGAAGACACTGGTGTACCAACACCAGAATGGTCACAGTGGTTAAGAGGAAGGCGTGCTGAACCACCAACTAATGAGGAAATTGCTTTTAACGAAAATATTTCAAATATGAAAAAAGTTAATGCTGAGAATATCGCCGAAAAGTTTAAAATCTCAAGTTCTAATGCTAATGAAATTGAATGTCAACCAAATGCCAAAGGATTCCCAGACTTATCAAAACAATTTGAAAGGCAGCCAGGACAATTTAAAAATAAACTTAGTAGTTAAATAATGTAGTATTTATTGTTCTATGTAATATATTATTTTTGAGAAATATATTTTGCACTAATACAGTGTTGGTTATAGTTACCAAATTATTATATGCAGTTTAAAATTAGCATTTGCAAAAACAGGATTATGGTTCGATTACAAGTGATGACAATTTTACTTTGCCAAAATAAATTAAAAAATTAAAAAAATGATTATAAGTTGCTGTTTTAATGGAAATATAATGTCAGATATTATATTTACTTAACTTTTAAAGTAAACTAAGTTTTAACCTAGACAATATAATCTTCACTTGATTTTGTGTCTAGTTTCTGTGTAGTTAATGTATGGCAACTAAGTCTTCTTTAACATGAAGTTTTAATTGAAGAATTTATAATTCAATATGTGTTCAAAGTGTAGTGGTTGAAAAAAAAACATCTATAGTATTAACTATACCTACATGCATTTTTGCTATGCTAGGAATTAAAAATTATTTTTTCATTCTTTAATTGTAAGCACAACTTAATTTTAATTAATATAATATACCTAACATATTATATTGTTAGCAATAGTTAATACAAAATAAAAACAAAAAAAATATATTTATTTTGCATTGAATTTGGTTTTATACACTTGGATGAATCATGAAAAAAATTAAAGTTTGTAAACTACCTATATTAAAAAAATACAATGAAATGTATTGTTGAGAGTACAGTATTTTGGGTCTATATTTTTCAAAAATTAAAAAAATATATATATGACTGAAAAATCCAATCTAGTTTTCTCAGGAATCAATAATTGTGAATATAATGTAAAATTTGAATACTAATATTATAAAACAATATTAATTTATTATACAAAAATAATATCTTCTTCTCCTTTGCCCTTCATCTTAATAATTGGGAGTCGGCCAAATATACAAAAATAATGTAATTATTAAAATGTTTTATTCTTTGTACCATTATAAAGGTTTATCATAATATTTTGTTTGAGCTCGTTGAAATGCTTCTATTATTGCTTTCCTACAACCAAAAATAAATAAATACAATTTATACACTGTTAACATATTATAACATACAGTTTAAATCATAAAACAAAATATGTTTTACATAGTTCTCCAAATTAAGGCATAGGTAATGTGCATGCTTAAGTGAATAATAGTTCAATTTGTATACATAATCACTAATGTATTATTGTTATTTATTTTGTTTTGCAGATCCTAACAATTGAATTATAAAAAATATTTTATAATTGATATGTCTATCTTTAATTAATCAACTGCCTATAATATTGCATTATCATTTGTATAATAAATTACTAATTTAACTAGTTTACTAATTATTTAAAAACTTAGAAAAAAAATATAAATATCTCAATAAAATTATGAAATGTTAAAGCAAAAAAAAAAAACTACTACTTAAATATTTACTTGAATGCATTTTGATGAAGTATAAAAGCAGCTACATGACCTGTATTAACATATCTAACCTCTGCACCAGGCCAAATATCTTCAAATTTATCCATACTATTTTGAGGTACATAACCATCACGCTTTGCACAAACAGCTATTACCATGTCCATGTCAATAGGGGGTGTAAAATTTTTTAAATGAGTACATTCATCCATAATACCCCTCATAAAACTTATTGCTTCCAAATTCAAATCTGATTACATAAAAACATGCTATAAATAACGAATTAATATAACATATTATACAGTATACACATTAATATAATTTGATACAACCTTGACTTTTTGATTGTGTATTGAAAAATTGCATAATGTGTTTTATTGATTTCAAATTTTTTTTAATTTGGAATTCATTATTCTGTTCAATTAAAGAATCATCTGTATCATCAAATTTACTGGACGATGATGAATTATTTAACTGCTGAGAATGACACGTATTTATTGCAGACTTATTATATTCTGAATTTTCAAACATTAAATTTGATTGGATGTCTAAACATGATTCTGAATGAAAATCTTTTATAAATTGTTTTCCTGCATTAAACTCTTTCTGGAATAAAAAAATATTTAGACTTAAAAAGAATATCAGTTTTCAATCTGTTTCATAATTAATCTGATATTGAGATTGAGCAATTAGATTGGACAAATCTGAATAATTATCCAGGTGGTGGAAAAACTACTTTTGTTAGTTTGGACAAACTGTCAATCCAATCATAAATTAGATTGTTAAGGAAAAGATTTATAATATACTTTAAATGTACACACAAATGTCAATTCTTAATAAGTATGAAAAAATACCTCAATATACAAGTTGATCCATGTAAGAAAACTCATTATTTTGCAAAACATTAATTTTTTTTGGAATTTGTTTTTTTGATTATTTAAGAAATAAGTAAATCTAAAATGTTACATATTAAGTTACTTTTTGTTGCCATTATTTTAAGGTTGGGGTTTTACTACTTTTGATTTAAATGGCAACCTATATTGAAAATTCCATATATTGATAAGAGTGTAAGTTAAAATAAATTTTTGGTGTTGAAATTTTTTATTTCCATCAAACCTTGGACGAGATATTCTATTTTTAAGTTTATAGATAGGGGGAAAATGAAGAAACACAGCTTCCTACATAAATGATGCACTATTACTCTCCTTCCGCCAAAACTTAAAAGTGTATCTTGTCAACGGATTAAGGAAATAAAATATTTCAACACCAAAATTTATTTTAACTAATACTCTATATATGTATGCAATTTTTAATCCTATAGGTTTCTATTTGGAAATCAAAATTAGGCAGTTTTTTCACAACAAATAATGGTACCTAATATAACATTTTAAAGCTACCAGTTTCTTATATTGTCAATAAAACATTTTTTTTTTAAGTTAATACTTTCTTTAATAATGAGTATATCTATTTAGATAGATCACCTTGAATACCTATAAATTTTTTTCAATTTATGAAATTATATTTAGGCTGTTGTACTCTATATCAGCTATATTGTTTATAATCATATAATTTTGTAAATGGGCTTATGCCTGTTGAACATATAAAAATAAAATAAATATTATAATTTTAATTTTCCCCGATTTCTTTAAATTTATAAATTAGTACATTTTAGTAGGTTAATATTGCATAAACTTTCTGTAAATTAAATAAATTTATTTTATTGAGTATACAGGGTGATCAATCTATCATAAGACATCCATTATCTCAGAAAGTATTAATTTTCTTAAATATTTATTTTATAGACAATTTTAGAAACAAGTAGCATTGGAATTTTAAATTTACATTATTTTTTCTCACCCAAATTTTTGTTGGTTAAAGTATTATTTACTTTTGATTTTTAAATTGCAACCTTTATTAAAATTTTCATAAATATATGTAAAAGTTAAAATACATTTTTGTGTTTAAATTTTAAATTTTCTTTAATCCATTGACGGGATATTCCATTCTTATGTTTGGATCAAGGGAGAGAAGTGATACATTATTAAAACGCTGCGTGTTGTGCTTGGTAGTCATAAATGATACTCCACTACTCTCCCCCGACCCAAACTTAAAAGTGAAATATCTCATAAACGGGTTAACGGAAATTACAAATTTAAACAATAACATTTATTTTAACTATTGTTCTATCTATTTATGGAATTTTTAATATAGGTTGCCATTTGAATATCAAAAGTAAATAGTCGTTTTACCCCCAAAAATTAGGGTGACAAAAAATTGTGTAAATATAAAATTTTAGAACAACTTGTTTCTTAAATGTTCTTTAAAAGAAATTTCGAAAAAAGTTAAGACTTTCCGAAATAATGAGTGTCTTACGATAGATTGATCACCCCGTATAGAAAAATACAAAACTTTTATTAGACAATCTTTTATACTATATAATATTAAATAATTACTTTTAATTTTTTGACTTCATTATCAATATTCACAACTTCGTTTTTATACATTGAATTTGATTTGTACTGATGTTCAAGTAAATTCCAGTCAATAGCACAGCTTATGGCACCCTATAAAAACAATGTTACCATTATATGTATAAACAAGTTAATGAGTAATTTATCAGTTAGTTATATTAAATAATTAACAGACCAAGATAAATGTTCAACTGAATTTGTGATATAAAAACAGAATAGTTGATAATAAACAAACAAAACAATATATTTAATATATTATACTAAAATTAAATTAAATATAGTTAAAAGAGACTATATCTCCAAGAAGACGAAGATATAATCTTTTATTATTGTTATTTGTTTGGACCATTTTTATCAATCATCTACTAAGATATTAGTAATTAAAGTAAGTACCTCTGTAAATACTCCAGAAGCTGTTGTACCGGATAAACAAGGAACAAGAACAATTGGCTTTGGCCAACTTGCAGCTGCTAGAGAAGCCATCTAAATAATAATTATAGTATACAATACAATAAATTATAAATGTTTAAATATTACAATTAAGAAGTCAAGAATTTAACAATTTTTTTTTTCATAAATAAAAATTTATATTTAGAACTAAAATAATTTGTATAAGTCCTAATAATCCTAACATGTTCTACTATGTTCATAATTACTTTAATATGGTATTAGTTTAATTTTTTTTCTACATCCCGACCTTCATACCAACTATTTTGAGTCGGCCACCCTCACCCTAAACTTCCACTTTGTATTATTTTTTAAAGATATGAATACAACAGATAAGAATTCATAAATGTATACTGTTTAATGGGTCAGGCTACTTTAAAATAGTTTATAATATGAAACCAACATTTAGGCGTTCATATAATAAATGACAGATATTTTTTACTATTTTTCAACCAATATAAATGAGATTTATGAAAAATACAAAATAAATCATTCTATTAGGCATGCATATTAGCAAAATATAGAACCAAAACTTGAAAAATAGCAATACAAATCTAAAAAACATCAAATATGCAAAAAATTGTATAATATGGAGTGTCTGATGTATAAAACAAATTTAAAGCTCACTTAGCTATTTTTATCTGTATCCTAAAATAATTAGCAACTCCTATAAAATCCAAGCCCTGATTAAAATTATGTTAATTATAAAAAGTAAATAATATTCTTACAATACATAAATTATGATCACTTATAATTTATTAACACTTACATGTCCACCCATGGATAAACCAGTTACTCCAAGAGGTCCAAATCCTTCACGTTCACACCAATGAAATAATACAAGGGATTCAAGTATTAGACAACCTCCCATTACAAAAATATCGGAAACATTGCATAATATAGACCTACTGTAAATAAATATTGAAATATGTTATTATTAATTGTTATCCAAAAACTATAATTATGAAGTTTTAAATTAATAAATTAAATGTATTACTAACATTAACTTAATTACCACTAATGCATAACCACCCATTTATTTTATATTTATAATAGGAATGGCCTAAAAGCCAGTTACTATAGATATTATTTATGGAGAAAAAATTATACAGACGTTGACAGTTTATAAAAACTCACATTAAAAGATTCCACAAAGCAAAACAACAAATATTTATAGTTATAGATATTTAAACAAAATAATTGTCATATTGTTTAAAATTACATATTTTATTAGCTTGGAGTTGAATTTATTTTAAATAATAATAAATAATATAAAATAAAAATTGAATTAATGATATTTCAGTTATGTATGCAAACATACACGCCATAGAAACAAATTGGGGTTTGGATTCCTTGATCCCCAGACTGTACCAAAATAAACTTTGAAATTTTGAATTAGTAATTATTTAGGACTAAATTATTTTTTTTAAACAAAAACTATGTACAAAGCAAAAGATTCCATTTAGAAATACAATTTATTTATTATGGGTTTTAAATGGTTTATTTTCAATCTTCTTTTAACAACAAAATATAATTGACACTTTTGGACATTATTTTTAGTTAAAAAAAAAAATAAATTTATTTTATTCATCTAACTAATACTACAATTATTGCTAAATATATTGCAGAATATCAAATCACTAAATATGATTTATTATTCGGTAATTTGTTATTTGATAACTGTGAAAGTGTTTACAGATGCTAGTCTCTCTAGGTCTCAGCCAATATTTGCTTAAATGCTTCAATTTAAATATTAAATGGAGGAGGGAGGAATTATGATCCATTTACTCTTCAATATTAATAATAATGCATATTATGCTATATTTATTTATGTATAAAAAATAATGTAAATAATAATTGTAAAAAAAAAATATCAACCTCATTCCCCCAAACAAAATTATTTGACTTCCATTACTGATCACAAATATTAAAATCACACTATTTTGTACAAGATACTCTTACACTTGATTAGTTGGTTTTCTTTTTCCATAGAATGGATTTTCTAATATTATTGATCCGATTGCTGCTTCCTTTAAAAGTGGTTTTGCTAAAATGGTTCTTCTTCTCCAGTAATACTAAATAAATAATATTAAAAGATATTAGATAAATGTTTAATACAATATAAAAAATAATGTTTAATATTATTTTAAAAAAGTATAAAATGTATTGAAAATATATTAATATTAATTATTATAGTTCCACAGCAAAACCTTAAATTAACAATTCCAGCAAAATCAAATTATTATTGTGTTCAAGGTTTTTTTGGAATTATTTTTTTCATGATTTTGTCACTTCAAGAGTTAGCTAGCCTACCATTATTATATTACTAGATTAATATTAATTAATAATAGGATTAACAGATCGGAAATCAACAATATATGATTTAAAAAATCCAGGTCTAAAATTATTTAAGAAAAGAGTTAAGCCGCCAACTCTTATTTACAGTTTAAAAACCAAAGAGTAATAAAAATGTTATTGATAAAATATTATTACCTATTGAAAAATGATGTAAAAAAAATCAGTACCTCCCTAGAGAATTACACTAATAACTAAGAATGATCAATTAAAAAAAAAAAAAAAAAAAAATATTTTCTAATATAAACTTTATTACCTATACAATTAAAAATAATAATTACAATTTAGTTGTCCTGATACTTATTATTTATGGGTATATTTTTTATGTCATTTTTATAATATATACTTAAAAATTAAGACTTTACTTGATCTCCAGTGCCCGCCATATGTACACACATAGGCTTCACATTTTTGGAAGGCCATTTCTTTGGTAATAAAACTTGGAAATGAGCAAAATGACTTTCTTTTGGCACAATATCTGGAAGGTAATATGAAAATGGTGATTGAAATACTCCTTCCAATGTTATTGAATCGGAATCTTCATTTTTCTTGAATAAAGATATAAATTATATTTTTAATTCCAAATTAAACATATATATTTTTATTTATGTGTTTTATCTAATTAAGTACCAACTTACTTTAATAATTTCTACAGGATAATCAGATGATACAAGTTTAAAACATGAGTCCCGATTCACAATAATGTTCCGGAACTGAAACAAACTAAAAGAATAAATCATATAAAAATTAATTATTTCATATTAACTATTAATAAATAAAGAAAATAAGTATTTGTTTATAGAAGAGAATTAATGATATTAAATTATCAAGGAGAAAAAAATTTATTAAAATATTTCACACAAAAAGTTGTCTATGTGCATTGTGATTGTGTAGTTACATGGTTTTTATATCAAGAATATATTGTTCATTTGGTTCTTTGAAAGCACCTGTAGAGCTATACACATTTAAAAAAAAAATATCAATTCAAATTCAGTATAAATGCACAATGATAAAATATTTAAAACTACTCATTTTGTCATTAAACATAGGTAATACATATGTATACACTTAATTTATTAAATACAAAACTCATTTACCATCAAATAATCAAAAACAAAAACATTAAATCAATAAAAAAAATCACTTGAACAAGATACTTGGAGCAGTATTGGAAGGTGTAAATTTTAAATTGTTAAACCTAAATACTGTTTTTTCAAAAGGTATTATTAGTGTTCTGCTTAATGTTGGTGTATCAACATTTGTATACAAATATTATCTTTTCAAAAATCGATAGTTGAAATAATATGTTCAAGTTATACATAATTAGTAAAATATTATAAATAAAATCATTAAAAAAACTGGACAAGTGAGTTGTAAATTACTTACAAATATTTAATAAGTGGTCACTGTTGGTAATAATATTAGGTATAAATTTCAAAACAATATCCCTTTTATATACAAAGACATCTCTGACAAAGGTACAGACAACCATACAGAATTGCAACACAACAATAGTTATCTGAGAACCCTACAGTACAAAACCTTATAAAACCAAAATTTAATTTCTTCAAAAATTGTGTAGTTAGTGATCAGCATAATTTAAAAATCACCCAGTATTATAGTATTTTAGTATGTTTAAGTTTATTCAATAAAATCTTAAAACAAAAAAAAAAGTATTTACCTTTTAAGTTTTTCTGGATCACCCCAACCATTTACAAAGTATTTAGTAAGTAATAATTTTCTATATAAATAATCAAATTTATTTATTGTCATATCTTATATGAAAAATATACACAATCAGATACACGTTTGTTACAAATAAGTTAATTGATTAACAAATCGATAACTTTGAAGTTATGCACACATATATATACACATTCATTTGAAAATTTGATGTAAACAAAATAAGGTCGAATGGGTTGAATATGGACTAGTAAACAAAAATATTATTGCGAATACCCCGTATTAATTATTAATACGGAATAATATTTTATATTGGGAGGCACGTGCCATAAATTCATTCAATATGTAATAGTCAATATTACAAGTAGGTAAGTACTACGTCATTGAAACAAAAATAAATTGCTGGTTATTATAATTAAATAGCAATCAACAAAACAGAAAAATAAGTACCTACATGTTAGGGACTAAGATCATAGTTCGTGATAATCGTGAATGTCTACTACGATATACATTAAACAGTTTCAGTAAAATTGCTATCAAACAAGATTTCATGATAATGTCAACTTTACCCATTATCACCATAGATTAATATAATCTACTTTTCGGATAACCATTAATTCATTAATTTTTGAGTTTATACGTTTTTACAACATTAATCGTTATGGTAGGAGATTTTCATCAGTCTGATGAATATTAAATCCAAAGTGGTTCTACTGTACCTATCCATGAAATAAAGATATAGTTAGAAAGAAACCATATTTAAATATTGGAACATAAACCTTTTAACCATAGATAGCGAATTCTTTAAACTTTGCCCCCAGAATTATCAAAATGATTACACTTTTCATAAATAAATAATAATTATCAATTCGTTACATCATTAAGACTGAAAAAAAGGAGACCAAATTCCATAGATTAGTAAAATATTATAACTAGTGATGGTTAGGTTAGGTTAGGTTTACTCGATTATTTCGATTGTTCTGAAAATTCTCGAGTGATTCTCTCGGTATCGAAATCAACTTGTGATGATTGCACGAAAGTTTTAACTCAAACCCAATCTGAATCTGGGTCATAAATAACCATAAGTAACCAAGGTGGATTAACTATTCACTAGTGAATACATAATTTATTATACAAGGTATACGAGCATTAAGCGTTAAATTATTGCATAGGCAAATTATTTTTATTTACGTTGGTTACACCCATAATACAAAAATTATTGTATCTCTATCCTTATCAATTTCCTAACAACTACTCTGTACCATGGCTTAAGGCATGCCCTGTACCAATAGATATATAAAATAATTACATCAATACGTTTCAGTCAAACACATAGATAAGTATATAAAACCTAATCAGTTAACTCTTAACTGATAAATATTTGCTGTGTTTAGAGAATAATTTTCAAATTTTAAATTATGTCGAAAAACTGCGATGAAATACTTCTTAGTGAAGAGTATAGGCCTGGTGAATTTAATATTATATACAAACGACATGGTAGTGAAAATTATATTTATATATTTAGTAATTGCTAGTAAAAACAATTAATATTATGTTATAGGTACTACTTTTTACTGGCATAATATTATAGTAGTCCAAACAAATTGATGGTTATTAGCAATAGAAAATATTATATTTACCTATTTATTATTTTTTTATTCAGATCAACGGCAGTTAATATTGGAATCTGAAAGACGTAAACAATCAATTAGTTTATATAATAGATGTATTTATTTTTTAAAAGAAGTATTTTTACCTAGAGGATTTCCAAATAGTGTAAGCAAGGACTACACAGAGTATCAGATTTGGGATACAGTACAGGTAATATAATGTATAATCGATTACAGCAAATCTAGCAGAATCAAATTTTCGGGAAGGCTTCTAAGTAAAATTATGTTTTTGAACAAAATTGAACCCCATCCCCTTTGTAATCTTTAATTTAGTAAATTGATTAAGTTATATTTACTAAGAATGTAAAAATACCCTGTAGTCTTAATTTCAATTACCCATAGTAATAATTGTTATTATTTTTATTTAAAATAAGAGTATTTGATAAAAAAATTCAAAATAAATAAATTCAAGTTTTTACTAATTTTATACTTGCGATTTCATATACCTACCCTCAATAATTTATTTATGTTTTTTTTTTTTATATAAAATAAGTATTCAAAATATAACTTAAATTTGGCTGTATGCACTGTTTTTTTGTAAAGATGTAGTAATGGATACTTATTATAAATACATTAGATCTTCTAAAAGTACAAGTCAAATCAAAAATAGAAATTGAATATTGATATATAAAAAAAAAATCACTTAGTACATATTTAATTAGTTAAATAAATATATCCTTTTACTAGATTAACCTATTAATACAATTTATTTTTAGGCGTTTTGTAGTACAATTACAAATATATTAGCTACAAATGCTATTTTGAAAGGTATTGGTGTAGGAGATGCTCAAGCTTCAGCTCTTACTGCAACGATTACTTACATACTTAAAGATGGAGCTGGTATGATTGGGCGTATTACTTTTGCGTGGTGGAAAGGGTAAATTCCATATTTTTTACCATATGTAGAATAGATGTACATAACAATATATTTATGTTTTTCCTTTAATTTTTAAAGGAACTAAATATCAATCACTATAAAGGTAGATATAGCTTGTGTAATGTATTTATGTGTGTGTTTTTATAAACTGTTTAATTATTATATTTAATTGATTTTAGATCTGAATTGGACACACAATGTAAAAAATGGAGACTCCGGGCTGATGCACTAAATGATTTAGCAATATTTATTGAATTACTCCTAAGCTTTTCTTGGATTAGACAATATTCATTAATAGTTTTCTCATTTTCAAGTTGTGCTAAATCCATTGTAGGTGTTGCTGGAGGAGCCACACGTGCAGCATTAACACAGCACCAGGTATTTTCAGTTAAATATTTGAAGACAATTTCAATATCAACCAAACATAATACAGATTGTATAATATAATATATAATGCATAATAATATTTATATATTTAATAATTTTATTGATTTTCTTAGAAAATTATTTAAACTTTGTGAAGAAATTATTTATACATCATTTTGTGTTCTATATTTAATTATTATACCAATACAATAAAATCCATCCATTTATGTGTATGTACATATTGTATATACTATAATAACAATAATAAGATAAATAAAAAGTTGTATAAAATTAATTATTAACGCTTTTAAAAAGTTTGCCTATTAATTTTAATGTTTTGAAATTATTTATTTCTAATAAAAATAAATACAATTTATATTTTTGTTTACATTTTGTTATAAAATATATAAATTAGTTTGTTATTTTCTAAATAGGCTATTCGTGAAAATATGGCAGACGTTTCAGCAAAAGATGGTAGTCAAGAAACATGTATTAATTTAATTGCATATTTAATTGGATTAATTATTTTACCCATTATTGAAAACCATTTATTGTAAGTATAGTTTGGTAAAAAAAGATATTTTTAAATCATACTTATATAGTTATACTTGTCAATATTAATAAAAATGTTTCCTAGTTTTATATGGGCCATATACATAGTAGTGACATTTTTGCATTTGTTTGCAAACTACAAAGCAGTAAAGAGCTTAAATATTAATGTCTTTAATAGTGCACGTTTTGATCTGACACTTAAATATTATTTGTCGAATGATACTCAAAACCAAATTGTACAAAAACCTGATTATATTAACAAAAGAGAAGCTTGTTTTTTAGAAGGTAAAATTTATTTTTAATACTAAAATATGATGAAATTATTGATAAGAACAAAGTTCAAATTTATAATTTTGGCATTAATTACTATATGTCAATATAAAATTTAAATTTGTTTTAGATGAAAAGTTATCTTCATTTAAAATACTATTGGGCGCATCTGTTCACGATTTATTGTACCGTAATGCAATATCTACATGGGACATGATAGATCATATTGAATTATATAAAGATTATTTATATATTTTAATTGTTGACACGCATAAAAACATAATACGTGTCGTTTTAGACAAAAGTATTAACACTGAAAATATTTTGAAAGCATACTTTCACTCAAACATATTAGGTCATTTAATAAGTCCTAAAAATAAATCCTCGTTGATAAAACTTAATCCTCTTCGATCTGTAAGTATTGAATAAAAACACTTATTAGCATTTATAATTAATATAGAGCTATAAATTGTTTCAGATGAAATACACATCCAACAACACTCAATTCTGTTGCACACATTCAGAGTACATTAAACTATCATGTGATTTTGTTAATAAAAATTTTGATAAATTTCTCTTGCATGCTAAAATGTCAGGTATTTAATTAATAATATATATTATACTATGAATGCATATATTATCACTGATTATTTATTTTATGTTAGATTGGAGCTGTATAAATCACCATCTAGTTGTTGATGAATGGAGAGCTTCGTGGTAACAAATTATTAATAAACTAGCCAGACACATTCAAGAAGAAAACATAATATTACTGTCAATGAAAATATATTTTTGACGAAAAAATAGTAATGATACATATCACAGTGTTATTAAATTTAATTACATTCATATTTCTATCTTGGATGATCCTGTTTGAGATAAATGTTTAACAACATCAATCCAATCATATCCTCGTGGTTTTTCTCCTTTGGAATCTAAACGATCCCATTGTTTTCTTTTTTGAGCTTTGCTCATAGTTTCTTTTTTGACTATTTTTTTTGTAGCTTCGTCATCATTTTCTATAGTCTTAAAAGCACAAATTCAAATACTAATTAAAATGTATAATATGAATGATAAAAATACTTACAAGCTTAATTATGTTTTCAATAACTTCTTTTTCTGGTTGGTCAGCAACTAGATCTACAGCAAAATCTTTGAGAAATTCAATAAGAGTAAATGTCATCGATTCTCCCAAATAATGATCAGCCTCTTTTGAAATCTGATCTTTTATATTTTGTTTAACTGAACTGACTCTATAATTTTTATACAAATATATATATATATATATATATATATTATTAAATATATAATATCACTTAAAATATCAGAATAATGTAACAGAAATTATAAGTTCAGTTAAAATTGATACTTTTAAATATTAAAAAATAAATCTTTATTAATATTACTTCAACTTTCTATTAATTGAGATGTTTGGAAGAGTAAACGGTTTAACTCACTAAAGAACAAACCATTTGGTGATGCCCCTTTTTTTTATTTTTTTCAGATTAAAAATAAAATAAAAATATAGGTATTATTAATATTTTAAGTTTGATGATTAAGCTAAATGAGGCCACCAAATAGATAATATCATGTAAAAAACATAAAAATTTAATTTATACAAACATATGCTTATTATAGAACATGTCTAAATTAATTATAGGCGCTTCATTTGGATATTTGTTGTGCCATTCAACCTCTAACAAAAACGATTTATGATCACCATCTTCTCCATACTGTTAAAAAACACACAAAATAAAATATCAGTAATTTAATTTTTTTTTTTTTTTAATTTGATATTACATGACAATTTTATATTTTCTACAAAAAGTTTTAAAAAAATTCCATTATTTATTGTAAAGTATAAACTTAAATGTCTTTTATCAGACTTTAAGCATAAATAAAATGTTTAATGTATAATACAAATTTATGCAATTTGCAATTTTTTCTAAAAAATATTACTACATTTTTAATTGAATGTCATAACTTAATTACAGATTTAAATGCTTTAAACAAGTTCTTAGTTTAACTATAAAGGATGTAGCTTACTCCTAAATTAACAACAAAAGTGTACTATGTTTTAAAGTTTTAATCAATTAACTTTTTTCTTTTTTTTTTTTAATGTTTACACTCAAAATTCTTAAATTATGAACAGAATTTCCAATTAAGAAAATATAACTGTTAGCTTAATAATTCATTAATTATCAACATTTTGGTTTTTAAATTTCATATTATATATAAAAAAAAAAAAAAGTTATTTACTTTATATTGATAAATAGTAGGTGATAATTGCTTAAAAGCTTCATCACCGTCATATATTGAAAGCAGAGCTTCTCTCTCCTCTTCTTGAAGAACTAAGCATTCATTGTCCATATTGGTCTGAAATTATGAGGTACACAAACAAGAAATAAATTAGGTAGGTAAATACTTAAAATTGAAAACCTTTGGATAGTTTAAAACCAACATTTATTTTACATACAATTATTTGTTAACTTGCGATTTAACTAGAATTTTGTGACTAAATAACAACGATTAGAGTAAGAAAATAATTTGTATGTATGTACATTATTATTAAATAATTTTTTTATAAACTCAACATTTGAAATAAATATTCAATTTTAATAAAGAACACAAAAATCTTCATTCTTTTAATTTAGTGATAACATTATCAGTTTTTATCATATGTGCTATTTTACCACAATTTTATGTTACGAAACACGAACACGATGACAGATAAAATATTAATATTTGTGATTATGGTACATTATTATAGATATTACAGTATTAGATTAGATATTATTGGAATCGCACCCGGCGACTATAATGAAACAAGTCGAATTTTACACTTTTTGAGTTAATAACGACATGAAAATGATTTTTTTCCGGTTCATCTACGGCGCAACTCTAAGCAGTATTTTTTTTTATATATTATGACGGTACGCGTAATTGTGTCGATAAAAAATCAAGACTGACATAATTTCAATTTAACCATAATAATGTAGTAGGTATATTATTATATCACCTATATGTATACCCAATGATTTTGTTTTCTGATCTAAATTGTGTCGATATTTTATCATAGTCAATTAGTGTTGAATATTATCTGCACATTTACAATACAAAATCTTTCAAAAGCGTATGAAGTTCGACCAGAAATTTCAAAATCTAATAAAGAAGATTTCATTGAACTTTGTAGACAAAATCTGATACCACCTCTGTACCACGAATTGTATAGGTAACTCGCCTAATTATTTATGTATTAATTTTTATTTAGTGTCGTTTACAATTGTGATCTAAATATTAAGGTTTGACCCAAGTAGTATTTTATTTTCTATCATATAAACTAACATGATTCATTTTTTTGTCAGAATAATAAAATAATTATGGTTTTGAAAATTTTGATTATAACATTAAAAATAATAATACAATTTTAAAAACGATTGAATAAAAGATTGATTTTTTATTTAAATATTAGGTTATAAGTAAATTTGGAATTCTCTTTCTTGAAAATAAAACCTTATTTTACTTGTGTAAATGCAACGATATAATTTAGTATGGAGGCCCATACTATTATAGAACTATAATAGTATGGAGGCCCATACTATTATAGAACTATAATAAAAATTTAAAATATTATTGACTTATATTATCCACCACACTTTTTTTTTCAAAACTGTAAAGACTGTACTTCATCCACTTGTAAATAAATACTTTAATATAAAAATGTATGTAGGTTCTAATAGTAGAATAATATATTGTTGTCTATATTACTTTGAGTTATATGATAGAAATAAATCGTAAACCGTAAGAAATCGCACTAACAAAATATTGTTAATGTGATTTCGTGAAAGGGTTCGTAAAGGCAATTTTTTAAAAACATTTTTGAAAAAAAAAATATTTGAAAATTTGACTCAATTGTCAGTAATATTAAAATAGGTAAATATTCAAGTGCGCTCGTGTCATTATCATATTTAATGTAAAATCGCGATATAAACAAAACTGTTTACTGAGAAACCGTTACGCGTGGACAAAAACTACTTAAATTATTATATAAGTAGGTAAACCAAATTTTCACAAAAAAAAAAAAAAAGGAGAACTTGTATTATGCAAAATAAAGTAAAAGCAATTATATATTATTTATTTTGTGTTATTTAGTCTACACGTACCTATGTATTTTTTAAAGAAGCAGTAGTAAATTATATTTATATGGCAAATCCATATAGAAAAAGACGTCCTAGGATAATGGCCACTGGCATAGGTAATTTAATGCATATCTGTAAGCAACGGTAAACCATTGCTTACGAAAAAACGATTCTGAGCGGAGTTCGGTTGATAATGATTGCTTTGTCAACAATATATGTCATTTTATTGTAAAATAATTAAATAAGCATCATATATATTTTCTTTAACGATATTCGTTTAATATTGTACCGATTTTCCCGGTTTTCCCATATTTTCCCCTGTTTTTCACATTTGTTGGGAAAATTCATGGGATAATCGAAAAATAACTTCCCTAAAGTACTTCTCCGATAAAATTTCCTTACAGAAAAAGTGCTGTTATTTTAAATCGGAGCGAAATCGCTGGTAGAAAAGTTGTACACAGAAAAAAAAGCCATAATATTTGTTTACTAATACCTACATCTTATTTATTTTCCGTTTTTCCGACATTTTATCCCGGTAACATTATTATATCTGGTGCACCGAATTATTCCAGAAAATAAATGTCCGAAAAGTATAATAGTTCTGGAATCACAAAGATAATAATTGTATTTTGCCGAAACGATGGTAACAAACAATATTAATTGTTCAAACTTGTATTTTTATAAACGTTTTATTTATTATAATTTAATCCTTAATTTATTCAATCGTTACTAGAATTACTTGTTAACAATAGATAAAAAGGCTTTCGGTGATTGTTATTCTAACTACTTTGTTTAAATATTGAAGGAATCTTAAAATGAAAACTCAAGACTGAGGAAAATAGCGTAATATTTGATAATTAATTAACAAGTTTCTTGTTGGACATAAATATCTAATTTATGTAATATTATATTGTGAGTACTCTTACTACTGTATTGTCGAATAACGCTCAAAACACGAAAACATCGTTTTTGGGTCACTGGGTATTGATATCATATATTTTCTTTTTAATTGCAGATATTATCATATTATCTTTATCACGTTAGATATTATGATGATATACGAGTTTGCATTTATTAAAATACATAGGTAAACTTACACGACATGATAATAATGTTGTTTAAATATAACAATACCCAGTTATTATGCCTGGGAATTTGTAACGGTTGAATCTTCACTCCGGTAGTAGGTAGTTCAACATACTGCTGCAACTTTAATTTAAAACGGTATTCCATTAGTGTGCTACAAAAAATTGCAAAATATATATATTTTCATTATCCGGCATATAAGGTGTTTTTTTAGAGTATAGAATTTTTAACACGTGTCGTTTCTTATTTGCTTCAAGTGATGTTTATTGTCTATGTCGATGTTTACAACAATAAAATACTGCGAAGTTTATGCATTTATCTTGATTTGATAACTTGTAATGTCTATATAGTATACCTAATACTTATAGGTATTGGTAGTTGCTACTACCCAAAAACATAATTGTCCAAAATATAACCATTATAGGTACCTACCTCATTACATCCTGCCAATCACCGGGAAAAGAAAGAATTCTGTCTTCATTTCCTTCGCCTTCATCCCAAATATTTGGGATCAGTCGTCCTCGTTCGAAATTTCCGCATGACCCGATCTCCCATCTCGCATACAGTGGCTGTCTTCATATTATTTTTAGTCGCATTTAACATCCTTTTTTGCAGTCTTCCTATCCACCTTTTTCCCCCTACGTTAACACTGGAAAACCAATGCATTCTTTGATTCGCTCAGAAACTAAAATGCTTTAGGAGAGAATAATATTGTCATTCATTATACCGTTTTATTGTGAAAATATATAATAGGTACCGTAAAAAAGGTGGTTGGGTGTGATTGAAATTGATGTGAGAATGGCAGGTATATACGAGGACGATGTGGGAAATCCGGTCAAGTTAAACTTTAAAGTTTAGGATGAGGGTGGCCAACTCCATATAGTTGGGATGAAGGCGAAGGAATAGAAGAAGTGGTATGTCCGTAAAAATTATATAGGATGCGCCGTGATAGTTCTACACCAGTTCATCTAACATGCTATTTAAAGGATCTCGGTTAAAATAGGTGGGTAATATTATTATATATAATCTGCAATTATAAATCTTTCGACCGAATAATAAATAAATATATACACACGCGTATACGGGGGAAGGGGGAAATATTGCAACCAAGCAACCTAGAGTTCATGATAAATTATTTTCGTCGAGCCGCTAGCTATGTTTACAATGACGTTTTGGGATTACAAAATTTGGCGAGATTTCAAATGCACGTACATAACTTATACACAAATCTAAAATAAATGTGTAAAAATTGAAATCGTTGACATTGCCAGGATTTAAAAAAAAAAACCCCCAGCCAAATGCATCATCTGTCATCACGTGTGCTTAGTGTTTCATGTAGGAAATTGTGTTAGTGTATATTATTATTATACGATCAACAGTGATTTTAAACAAGCAGGTATGTTAGTATAGTTAGTTGTAACGATGATAATAACTGTATTGGGATGAGAAGTTATAGACGTTTAATATTTTAGTTTGTGTCTCATATTTATAGCTATGGTAAGGCTATGGTATTTAAACACTTTAAAGTGGATACTTTTTCCGTATTTTAGAAATTTTATTATTAAAATACAAGTTTTTTTTATTTTCATATTTATTACATAATATATTTTAGATTCTGAGTGGAATGAGGAATATATTGGTTTTACAATGATGTTTATATTTTTTTATGTGAACACTTTTTCTACTAGAAAGCATTCTTCCATTATCAAATGTAGCACATTTTCTTTGGGTAGTACTTTGAAGACGTCATTTTTTGAAATTCTCATTAATATTCGAGATAATGAGGAAAACCTCGGTCTTTAGTTTAAAAAAGATAGAAAGATTAAAAATAAAGTTGTCATTGGCAACTGTTTTTATATATTTTTTGTTATTATTAAGTTTTTATCATTTTAATCTTTTTTAAACAATCATTGTTATAATCACTCTACCATAATATGACATATATTGTATTGTCGTTAGCAATGGTTTATCGTTGCTTACAGATATACATTGAATTCCAATCTGTAGCCAACCTTACCAACTTCTCACCTATAACAGTGGCTGTATCCGCCCTAATTATCATAGGACAGCTTTTTTTTTATTTATAATTGAGATAAACGAGAATATTTACCCACTAATGATTTCTGTCATTTTTGATTTCGTTTTTGTCTTTTAGAATCTAAGCAGAGCGAGTAGTTTTACTATTATGTTCATTTTATTTTGCTGTGAACAACTTTTGTACCAAAAATTTTGATCAGATTTTCAAGTGTAGTAATTTTTCTAAAATTTATGTTGTTTTTTGCTTTCCACAAGGTTTTTCACAATAAGTGGGGAAAATTTACAAAATGTATTATTTTCAAAAAATAAATATTGTGGCCTTTCAAAACATGTACACCCGAACTCCGCTTAGAATCGTTTTTCATAAGTAATGATTGATCGTTGTATACAGATATACATTTTAATTCCCCTCTAAATCCTACATTTTCAACTTCCCACCTACAATAGTGGTTGCACCCACGTGTTAAGTATGCCCGTCCTTTTATTAATGTCTTTAAGGTTGTTGAATTTAGCTTCTGTATAACTTCTCATCTCTATAAATGGTCAGTCGATGATCAATTATTTGCGTGTAGACGCTGCGTGCTTCGGTCGTAATGGTTTTCGTTTTTAGATTCTGAATGCATATTAAAAAAGCAATAAGTTTTACCAAGACGTATATTTTTCCTCGGAAAACACTTTTTGGCTCCAAATTATGCATATAAAATATAGATTTTTTAAAAAAAGTTGATAACTATAATGAATTCGTACGATACATTGATTTATTTTTCTTGATTCCTGGGTTAGTGGGTGGGGGGGGAGTGGGATAAACACGACTAATACATATTATAACCAGACCAGATTAGTGTTTGGGCGATGCAGTTTCCGGTAAACAGTTGCAGTGTTTGCTGCTTGGTTGCAATTTCGCTAAAACGGCTCCCAGGTGCGTCGTGGTTTAGTATCAAGGGAACCACGTCTAAAGTAAATATATTAGAGTATTACAGTAAATTTATTTATATTAATTTTAGATTCCGAGCGTAGCGAGGGAGCTGTTGATTTTACAATGCTGTTT